ATTTTCAATACATGTTTTGTTAACTTTAAACCATTCCTAATACAAACTCTGGAGAAAATTTGATGATCTAATTAACTTTCCTTTTTTAGGAGATTCTCTGCACTTTTGAATCCAATTCTGTACTTTTATGAAGGGCAGAAGGAGCTGAATTATTCCTCATTCCAATTTTCTTTGCATTTCATAAAGTGGAAATAATGGAATCTAATAATTTTGGTGGAGGAATGAGTGTGACAAAACCTATTTGTGCCTTGCTCTCCTACAATTTTGTGAAATACATTACTTCAGTAACAGATATTATAAGACTGAATAATAGTTGCTGAAGTTAGGGAAATTTGCCATTTTTCCCTACAAATGTAATCCCAACCTTTGATTCCTAAACTACATCTATGCCACACCCAAAATTAAATGCCTAAAACTTGATCTGGTTGATGTTCAGTCAGGATTAGTTCTACTGAACATATACAACGTTTGCGCGGAGTAGAATCCACGTGTTAATTAAGACTGACATATTTATTTTAGTGCATGTGGAGTTAAAGATAACTGCTAAAGTTACTATGAATCACATTTAATGGCAGTGAAATCATGCAAGCTGATCTATAGTAAGTGGCTTAGGTTAAGTAAGAAAGTTATGTTGACTTCTGGGCTTAATTAGTTGCTTTGGTTTGTTTGGAATCAGTGGTATAGTTTGATGAAACATTTCATATGATAAAAGTAATAAATGTATTCCTAAAACTATTTTGTATCCTTTCCATCCCCAAGCAAGCAAAAAAATCTTACATGATTTTGCTTTAGGTTTTAAAACTGGTAAGTGCAAACTTTTAATGCCAGTTTCAGGCAGTTTTGGTCTGGGAGTTTGAGGTTTAAATTTGTGTACAGTAATGTGACTAGGATGAAGTTGATGACATATCACTCGTGCATAGATAACTCTTAAACTGAATGTTATCCTACTATCAATTTAGTAACTTCATCTTTTTCAGATTTGGATGTTTCTCAATACAAGGTGTTAATGTAACTTTCTGAATGGTCACATAAGCACTGTTACATGAAAAAAACAAAACAAAAAAAACAACAACAACAAAAAAAACAAAACCAAAACAAAACCAAAAAAAAAAAACAAAGACCACCAACCTTTGAAAAAGCTTTGAGGTGTATCAGTTTGTTTGTCATTCAAGGTATCCATCTCGTATTGAGAAGATAGATTATGAAGAGGGGAAGATGTTGGTCCATTTTGAACGTTGGAGTCATCGCTACGATGAGTGGATTTACTGGGACAGCAATAGGTTGCGACCCTTGGAGCGACCAGCATTAAGGAAAGAAGGGCTGAAAGATGATGAAGAATTTGTTGTAAGTGGAATTTTTATTTTGTCTTGGACCTTTTTTTGGTGAACTGCCTTACTTGTTTTCCAACATTAAATCTCTAGCACATAATGTTTAATTCTTTTTAGGAGAAAATCAAAATTATTAAAGTATTAATGAATAAATTTGTATAAAATAGGATTTTAAACCTGGAGAAGAAGTCCTAGCTCGTTGGACAGACTGTCGATATTACCCTGCAAAGATTGAAGCAATTAATAAAGAGGGTATGTATTCATGTATGGTCCATTGGTAAGGACTGTTTGCATATGCTGTGCTGTAGCTGTAGGCTGCTTAAAGTGACACATGTATTAAGTTTTCCTTACTGCCTCAATATTAAGTGAAAATTTTTTCTATTCTATCAACTTTAAGAGGTTTGTCTTTTATTTGTGTGAAATTAGAAAAATGAATTTTCTTCTGAAAGACAAAATGCTTAATGTTTCCTCAGTGATGAGAATATCCTATGCACAGTGTTATGAATATTTTGTGCTATTGTTGATTTGCGCTAATAATATATTTAAATTTTTGTGATTGTGTTAGAAATGGCAGGTGTCTTTAAAGTTCTGTTTATTGAAGAAAAACAATGGAAATGGGGAAATAAAGGAACACCTTAGATGTAATACTTGACAATGGGGTGATGTTTCTAATGAACTAATAAGTAGAAGTTGAAGTTTTTACTGTAGTTTAAATCAAATGAGGATTTGTTTGTGAATTGACATGTTTCCCTATAGTGTCAACGTAAATATTACATAATTATTCCAATGAATTATGAGCAAGAGTGACACAGTAACTTAAACATGCTTGAAATTGTCCAAGTGGACAAAGAGCAATGATATAAAAGCAGGTTTTCATTAAGGCTGCCATTTATTTTTTTTCTTAAACTTCTCTATCCTGACTGTAGGTAACACCTGGCTACTTTGTTAATATAGCCTACAAAACCTTTTGCTAAAGCTTTCATAATAACAAGGTGTGTTTGTTTCTTAACTGCTCATAGTGATTACTTCAATCTTTTTCTAGGAACATTCACAGTACAGTTCTATGATGGTGTTATTCGATGTCTTAAGAGGATGCATATCAAATCTATGCCAGAGGATGCAAAAGGACAGGTAAGAATACTTTATGTATCTCTTTGTTAGGTTTTATATAGATTTTTTTTTTTTAATATCTTGAGTTAGTAAAAATGTCATCTAGCACAACTAGTTTTAGATTACAGCCTTTATTCTAGGTCCTGCACTGCCTTGCTTCACCAGTTTTATGGATGATGCCTCAGAGTGTGCTGCTCAAGTAGTCTTGCCTCTGTCTGAAATGCCTAGCTGCCGTACACTCTACTGCCAACTAATCTGTTCCCAAAGTTTTGTCTTGCAGAGTTTACAAAACCAGAGTAATCGAGAGACTTTTTACTCTGGTTTCCTTTCAGGAAAAAGCTTTAGCTTGTCAGTAGTCTGTGCTGCTGATTTTTATTTATTTATTTTTCCCCACTCTCCACCCCATCTCTTTTGTTTGCTACTGTGGTAGCTTTTTTCCCCCACATGTTCTTATTAACATGACTTTTCTGTGGGGGTTTTCTCCCCTGTATCAGAAATTCTGGGGATTCAGACATAAATATTTCTTTCTCTCTGATAATTTCCAGTTGCTATTAAAGAAGAGATGCTAGGTAGAAGTTGAGGTAGGCTCTGAAGTAGAGGACATGATTTAGTCACAAGGCATATCTTTACATGCAAAAGGAAAACAACCTTGAAAACTGTTACATGTTTTCAGTGGAAATGCCATTGCATTTATCTTGCATGGTAACTGTATTCTTGCAGTTAGTAAGACATTACTCCACTTGAAATTGAGACTCAGAAACAAGAAATGTGAAAAGACTGCTCTTATTTGCTCTCAGTTTTCTTCAGAATATGCCTTCCAATTTGGCAAACAAAATTCAGGTATTTCATGATTACTGTTGTAACCATCCATACTGTGCGAAGGGCAGAGGGATAGGCGAATTGGCTTGAAAACATTTCTGTATCTTGGCCTCCAGGTTATGGGTAAATGTATTCCATCATCTATAGAAGGAACATTGTAACTTTGCAGGTAACACTGCACTATTTAAACAATGCTTCCTTAAAGGGATTAAACTGAAATCCGTAATCACACTAACACTGGCTTCTTGCTGCAGTCTCATGGTAACTATTGAACCAATATATAATATTTCAAACAATACTTTCAGCATGACAGTAACTTAGGAGGCTAGACTATTTAGTTTTACTTCATAAAAAGGAAAACTTGGGTAATGTGGTGGTGTCTGAACTGAAATAGCCCTTCTGTGAATGTGAAGTCCCTTACTCTGTCCTGTGCTTTTTCTGGGGAGCTATGTTGTGTCTAATCTTGAGTTACTACTCTTAGGCTACAGGCACTTTCCTCTTTAAAAAAAAAAAAAAATAGTAAATCCATTTCTTAGCAACCATTTTGATGTCCAAACAGGCTTGGTGGCAGTCTAGCTCATCTATAATTTCTAATTTTTCTCAGTAGTTAAAGAGTTATGGTGTCTCATGCATCTCAGGGGCTGAATGTAGGTGGCTTCAATGAAGCCTTGAGAAAGAATGAGGGGGCCAAATTTGCACTTTCTGAGATGGATTTAGTATTTTTAAGTTCTCTTGCAGCAAGAACAACAATTATGCTTTCTATAATGCTAATTGATACTAGTCGTAGCATTTCATTTTGCAAAAGTAGAGATAGGCATGAAGTTCTGTAGCTGTCAAAGGCAAAGATACTTTTTTCTCCTGCAACATCTACATCATTATGCTATGGTAAAATTTTTGTTTTGCAAAATATTTCTGTGGTGTTTAAAAATAAAAAAATGATCTAAGATTTGTTTTGAAAATCAGTTATTTGAAACTGAGCTTTGTCTAAGCCTAGAACTCAGATGGATGTTTTTGCTTTTTTCAATTATTTATTTTATAAGAAGGCATTTACTAAAAAATATGTAAAGCTTAAAAAAAAATGCCAAGACTGTAACTTGATTTGAAAAATAGTGGAGTTCCAAGACTTCATGCTTAATTTAAACCTATGACTTTTCTTTCCAAAGAAAAAGATACATTTCAAGAGATGAGTGTAAGATTAAGATACATCAAGTTCTAGTGCATTAGCAAATTTAACAAATGTATGATCTGTTTGGAAGGTGTGTGCTAAGCATGCAGAATTGAATTACATGGAGAAAGAGATATAGACTAGTTAATTTTTTTATTTGAGTTTAGCGTGTCTTAAAGGAAGAGATTGTAAACACTGTAACACTCAAACTATTTTTGAGTTGCAGCAGAAGTTTTTTTTAATAAAATTCAGCTGTGAGGGTGGAAAGGCAAAATTTTTAGAGTAGAAAATATCTGTGTGGTTCAATGCAATGAGATTATAGGTTAGGTTGCTCTGCAGATAAGCGCTAATTAATTGAAATCACACAGAAATGTGGCTAATGTAGTACAGAGAGAAAATTTAAAAAGGTGGGGATATTGAGACTGCCCTTGTGAGAGCACATATGAAGTATTTGGATAACTTACTTTTTCTGTTTCATGTTTTTTGTTTTATCTTCGATGTAATTAGGCGCGCGAGAGGGAGCAGATAGCGCCGGAGCTGAGATTAGTGACGGAAATCGAACCAAAAGAAGTGAGTTTTGAGGAGGGTTTTGAAGGAGAGGGAGGGGACTTGGCACACAGGAAGAGGAAGCTGAGGAAAAATCATGGATTTGCGATTGGGACAGAGGAAAAAAGAAGATGTGACAGGAGACAATGTGAGCCAAGATGTAGGTGGGGCAGACTGTTTAGAATTGAAAGGTGAGGGTGAGGAATCCAGGCTTGATGCGGAATCAGCCAGTCAATAGATTGATGATGTTTTATGTATGTGTATGGATGAATGTGTGGGAGTTGGGAGTTGTGATGTGTCAGGAGAGGAAAAACAGCTGAATCTTTAGTACTGTAGAGAAGCAAAATGATGGTGTTCGTAGGCAGGTGAAGGGAGAACAATGTGTGTGTGAATTCTGCCATTGGCGCAAGGGTTGGATTTTAGAAATCATTCTGGTTTTGCCTTCCCACTGTTGCAGGTTTACGGTTATGCAAAGGAATGTTTTAAAATACAAGTGTTTTAGCTAATTGATGTGTAAGGCTGTTGGGTAATTTCTACTAATGTATTTCTTGATCGTGCAATTTCCTGTGCTTTGATTTAGTGAATCTAATTAGCATAATGACAGTTTTCCTCAGTAGTGATAAAGTAATGTTTTGTCTTCTAACTACAGTGTCCCATTACTTCTCTCCTGACAATTTTCTCGGCTTACTTGAAAGGTGAATTTTAGTAAGAATAAGAAAAGAAGGAAATACACTTTTTTTTTCCAAAGTAATATATGTAAATGAGAAACTCACTGTAGTAAGGTACTGTGGGTAGCGGGAAATCAGGATGGATGGTGCAGTGTTACAAAAGCAGAGCCAATAGAGGGACAGTGTCAGGACACAAGGGAGAAGTGTGGAAAACTTCTTAGGAGGGTTTTGCTTTTACTTCATTGATTTCTAATGTGTTCATATTTGGGCACTTGGCTTTGTGTATACCGAATGCTTTGGGGTAAAGTCCTGATATTAAAGATTTGCAACTGTTTTCTGTGATATCTGTGATATTTAGTGTCCTGCTATTATGGTTGACAGCGTAGCTGTCTTACAATGACCCTGAGACAGATTTCAGAATTCATTATGCTTTAGGCTCCCACTTATTTTCCCATTTTCTGTTACGTATTTCTAAGGAAGAAGGCACAAACATATCTTTTTGAAGGAGGAGTTACTGTGCTCTTCAAAAGAAATGTAGTTACCGTAGTATCCTAGATGCTAAACAGTTCTCACATGTCAGGACCTGTGTGGTTGAGCAGTTGCTCAGCAGGCATTCAGGGTTAAAAAGCAGGAACTAAATGTCTCACTTTAGTGTGCTTATATGTTTACTCTGGAGCTAAAATAAAAATGGACCCATGGAGTTTCTGACCAATTCAGAATCACAAAATTGTTGATGTTGGAAGGGACCTTTTGAGATAATTTTGTCTACCCTCTTGCTCAAGGTTCTCTTCACTGAGTTTAAATTTACATGCTAATCTAGCAAAAAAAAAAATAACTGTCACCATAATTAATGTCTCTCTGCTCTGGCTTCTGAATGTTTAACCTTTGCTTGTTTCATTGTTATATGTGTCTTGCTACCCATTGTAAGCTCCATGTCTTAAGGAAAGTATCCAAACAATGAAATAAAATGCAAACAAAAAACCCCTTCATGCTGTACCAGAAAAGCTACAATTAGAACAGGATACTTAGTCAGCGTGGTCCTCGAAGCTCAGTATCTTCTGAAAGCTTATTATTTCAGGGTGCATAGCTTCACTGAAAATTACAATGCTGTTTAGAAGCTGTTTTGATGGAGGCTGCCCTTCCTTCGCTTCCCACTTTTATCATAAGATCCAAGCTTCAGCCATGTTACTGATCCTCTTCATCCCTTGGCCAGGGTACAGTGTAAGACTTCTACTCTCAGGTCTGCTAACTCCTCACCAGCACAAATAGCTCAATCCTTTTTTTGTCCTGCTGGATGGGCAAGGCTCTGGATGGACTGGAGCTAATGTGTGTGCTCGTTTTGGCTGGCCAAAAAAGAGGTATGTGTGTTTTTGATTGACTATGCAGCTGGCAGTTAGACACGCTGTTTGTGGCTGGCATGTCACCAAATGGCCTTGGTAGTTGCCTGTTGTGTAACCATTGCCAAAGTGCTTCCAAACTTTGTTGCTGCTAGCTAGACTGAGTGTATGCATCTTGCATGGACAGTCTGGACATGGAACACTTCATGTTAGTGGAATCGAAACTGTTGGTGATTCTAAGTACATAGCTTGGCGCAAAGTAGAAGCATAGCCTATGTAAAACAGTGATTTTAAAGTATTGAGCTTTGGAAAAGGAAAAGCATAATACAAGGAAAAGTAATGCTTTGTATTTTGTGTTGTGCTTTTCTCATACATCAAAGGTGGCAGAGAAACCTTCAGTAGAACAGAAATTTGAGACTTATAATATGTAATTAGTGAGAAGAAGTTGCAGTGAAACAAGATGTGTAAAATCAAGGTACTTCCTGTATGGTAACATAACAAAAAGGAAACAACCTAGAGTAAAATATAGTCTGTCTACAGTTGAGGGGAAAAAAAAATAAATTACTATTTGTAAAGCTCTCATGTAAAACTAGACCAAAAATAGTCTTTATCATACCATTTTTTTAAATGTGATAGGATAAATCTGCAAATACTCTTGTAGCCAAATGGCCATGTAGTAAATTAATTATTGTGCAAAACACTCAGATGCTTAATTTTTACTGGTAGAAGATGAACATTGCTGTTGGTTTTCATAGCGCATATAACTTCTCCATGGAAAAATTCTGTACCTTGATGTTATAAAAATTTTTTAAAAAACTCTAGTGAAAACGATCAAGTTAAAATGTTTTTGCAAACAGATTGATCCCTGACACTCAGGAGACACAAGGCAGGAGTTTGGTCACTCCAAACTAGTGGAAAGAGCTTAGTTCAGCCTTGGAAGTATTGAGCCACCCTATAGGTCAATGGACAGAAACAGACTTCGTCTACATGCCAAAAAGTAGATTGATTAGGGCTACATGTTCTGTTGTTTACTCCTTGGATATTTCTGTACGTTCAAATAAGTCGCTATACAAAATGGCACGTTTATGACCTTAAATGTGGATTGTGAAATTCAGTCATACTATAGAACACTTTATTGAAATTATTCAATGAAACTTTTAATGCATAATACAAAGAGTGCATCTGTATTTACTCTAGAAACACAGATCTAATTAGATAAGAGTTATCCCTGCTTTGTCAGTCTAATTTAGGAAGAACTTTGCCCAGTCTTGCAGTTGGCTGGATCATTCTTTGAGCTGATTGTACTCTTGAATAATAGTTACATTCGAGCAACAATGGAATTGGTGTATTTCACAGCCAGAAGGGCAAGAAAAAGGTCAGTGTTCTGGGTTTGGGAACTTCTGGGTTTCTAAAGCTATGACACGTAAAATAGGTAGCAGGGAATGTAAGTGGCCAGAATTCTATACACAGTGACGTTTTGAAGGTTTCTTCTTTTTGCAGTTTATCCATGTGGCATACTGATAATACATCAGGTTTATGTAGGCAACTTGGGAAACTCATTTTACTGTAGTACTATTCACTTTTTGAGTAGTAGCCATAAAAATAAACTCAACTGCTGTTGAACATTTCTAGATGAAGTTTCACTGGGCTTATAAGTATTTTCTGTTTGAGTCTCAGGCAATTTTTTAATGCTTACTTACCATTTTTTCCTTTTTGGAGGATTGGATAGCTTTGGTCAAAGCTGCTGCTGCAGCAGCAGCCAAGAACAAAGCAGGAAGTAAACCTAGAACCAGCGCAAACAGCAATAAAGATAAAGAGGACAGAAAATGGCTAAAAGTTCCTTCAAAAAAGGAAGAAACGTCAACCTCTACAATCATGCAGGAAGTCCAAAAAAAAGAAGAGGAGCCGACATCTAGTGACACATTTGGTAAAAGCAAATTCTGTAAAAGAGAAAACAGATTTTTCTGTAATGTTGGAATTGAATTCCTGTTGTTAATTTTGCAATTAATAACTAGCATTTCTAGAGAAAGATATCTCATTTGCTATTATGATGACTTATTCTGCATAACATTAATCAATTCAGAAACAATTTTTATCAGATAAATCTAGTTCAGTCAGCATTTAGTCGTTCTGCAGAACTTCTAACTTGCTCTAACAAGAGCAGAATATAGGTTTTTTTTTGAAAGACTTCATTGTATGCTTGAGTTCATATTCGTGCATCTTTTGTTACCTGTGAGATCTTGTTCTGAGAAAAAAAAAAGTCAGTATGGATGACATATCCAAACTCAGGGATGTTTGAAATTATTTCTGGGTTGATAAGAATTTGTTCATTTTAATAGTCTTTAATACTGATTTCTCATAATATTGAGTAGAAATTACAAACTTTGAGGTAATTGTATCTAATGCTTCAATGTGTAATATTAAATCTTCAGAATGTGTCTTTTTCCTCTTCAATATAATTTTAAAGTTTCTTTACTGCAGTATTCTAATAGCAGATCTGAAATATTTAAGTATTTTGGGTGTTGTTATATATTTATGAAACGTGAGTTTATTAGATTTTTCTTCTGTTTAAAAGTAGGATTTCCTGTAGTGGATGTTCCAAAGATGGCTTTTGTGCAGGCAGAGAGCACATTATCACACAAGAGGAAAAGTAATCTAGGCAACTCATTTCAGGCAAAGAGAGCTCGTCTTAACAAGATCACTGGTAAAATACTTTTTGTTGTTGAATTTTCCTTTATAATGTAGTGAAATATACATACTTACATATAAGGTACTAATGTAGATTGATAAAAGCACATTCATGAGGCAGATATTCACTACAGTCTTTTACTTGTTTGGAACTTTAAAGGAGTCTATAAATGGTAATAAAATCTACCTTGTTCATAAATGCAGAGGATGGTCTCAGATGTGACTTGTTTTTTTTAGTTTTTTAGGAAGGTAGGCATCCTGAACTGATTAATTTCTTGAGTACTTTTTAACTCCAGCTGCACATTTTTTTCCTTTATTGTGTGAATTTGGGGTTTGTACACTTCTTAACATGGTCATGAATTACATACCACCACTAAATTAAAGCTTTTGTTGGCTGTGGAAAAACTAAATGTTTTGTCATAGTTTGTCATAAAGTAAGACTGTTGCTGAGAAGCATTTACAGTATGTCACTTAAAAGTATACAGGTCTGGCTACAAATCAAAGCAGTGAAGAACTGAAATGTTTTTTTCAGTGTCTAAGGCATTTATTGCTCAAAGGTATTAATGGAAAACAAGTATATAGCTGTAGAATGCATTTTATACAACAGGAAATGGAATAATAGCTGATTTGTCATATCTTTAAAAGCTGAAAAGTGCATTTATTCCAAAACTTAATAGAAATTTACTTAACTGTGGAAAAATTATTTCAATTTGTATCCCTCCTTCCCCGTGCCTCCCAGTAAGCAAATTCTGTTGCCATCACTGATCCTGTCAATATTTGGGATCAGGCAATATGTTTGTACTTGTGCTGGGAAAGTATCAGATGCATTTCAAAAGCTGGGTGGAAAAAAGTTGTGAAGTCCTCCCCCCTTAACAGCGGGGCCCTTGGACAGACGGTAAGAGAGAAATGCATTCCACTCGCTCTTATAGTAAATAATATTTTGTGTGAAGTTCTGAAAACTTTTTTGTGTTACAGATGAGAGGGGGTTTGTTTGTGTTTGTTTTTGTTTTTTGTTTTTTTTTTTGGTTGTTTTTTTTTTTTTTTTGTAATAGATAGGGCATTGTCATTCATATAAAGTGTTACTTGGTGTTCTGTAAGATAAATACAGCCTGATTTCCTAAACTGCGTGATAGGTTTTTTCAGACTTTTTTGGCTGCTCCAACTTTTCATAGGTCATCAGTGGAGGATGTTTAGTCAGTTTTATTATGAGTGTGGTTCCGTTTCAGTCTCTCAATCAGTACTTCATTCTAAAGGATAAAATAGATGAAATAGGCCAGAATGGAACATGGTATGAAGGAAGCAGTCTATAGAAAAAACCTCATCTTCTATCTCCAGGATTTTCTTTCCTGGAAGTCTTCTTACTTGGTACCAAGTTTAGTTAACAGATGTCTGATTTATCAGTCTCACTTCTACTCTCCTTTGCCCATACTGCACACACCCCCAGTTAAGTCCCAATTTAATTGCTGTCATGAGAAGTAGAAGATATAAATTTGCTAGTGATATATATTTACAGAGCTCTGTTAATTTATTTCTAATAGTAGTTAGTATCAGAAGATACCAAAACAAGCTGAAAAACCTGTAGCTCTAGAAATTACATTTTTCTGTGCTTGTGGATAGATTCTCCTTTCCCAAGGAGGTTTATGAGAATAATAGCAGTTGGACTGGCTCGTATAGACTGAACTGAATAATCAGAAAACATAATGTTGCAGCCACTGACTTTACCATTCGAAAACGGTGTCTCTCTGTGGAAGCTACTCAGCTAGCAGAGATGTTACCTTCCAGCGAAACGGAATGAATCCTTTAATTGCAAGATGAAATTTGTCATGCTTGATAGTTACTTTGTGTTCTCAAACTGTTCTCAAATTAACATGCTTCTGCAATTCATACTGTAGTAGGTTTTTTATTATTGCATATAATGGAGTATTTTGAACATGTAGCTGCTGGTGATCACACTTTCTCTTGCTACATGCTTATTTCTTATGCTTGAGGTACTTGTAAATTGTCGTTTGTGTCTCTGGCACGAGCTTTTAGATTTGAAAGAAAGTTGGGAATCATGCCGGTGTACCCATCAGAATGGCTACTAAAGAGTCATAAAGCATTGTAGCTGTTAGGAAAACATTCATTTGTCAAGTGTCTTACGGCTCTATTGGGGAAATAGAACAAATAATGTGGTTCTAGGAGGCTGTCTGAGGGAACTATTTTCTGTATTTCAATTCAGCATATAGTATTTCTTGCGGATTGTCTGACACAAGGGCCACATCTGCATCTGATGGTCTTTGCTCACCATTCAGCAAAGTAAAGCTATTTCCCTTGCCCATTTTTTTTCTGTTACTACCTCTGGGGGAAATTCTGTTTCCTGAAGGTGAAGGATCTCTCCTGCTAAGCATGTATTAATGTCCTCTTCCAATTAGTTTTTGCCCCTTGAATGCTTGCTTCCACATCTGCTGCAGTGTTGATACATAATAGGTAACATCTGCAGCAAGCTTGCAGAACAAAACGCTTCTGGTTCACTGTGCACCCTGTGCTTTTTATTTGTTACATGCTGTTACTGACAAAGGATGGTGAACCTATAGTCCTGCTATGGTAGCCTGTGGAGTTGTTTGGTCTTTCTACAGGCATGGTGATTGGTTAGAAAGGTACTTAATGGGGTAGAGAAGAAGGAAGTAAGAAGAGTTATATATTCACAGGTCTGACAGAATATAGGTTCATTTCCTGGCTTTACTTTCTCAGTACTGAGCATCTAGCTAGAAACGGTCTGGGTTGGAAGGGACCTTTAAAGATCACCTAGTTTTCACCCCCCTGCCATGGGCAGGGACACCTTCCACTAGGACAGGTTGCCCAAAGTCCCATCCAACCTGGCCTTGACCACTACCGGTGATGTGGCATCCACAACCTCTCTGGGAAACTTGTGGTTTGTGGAACCACAAAATCTGCCTTGCAAACTGTTGTTCAGCTTTTAAAACTCTACTTCACTTAATTTTGTAAATTGTTTAATGGTTTTTCATTTTAGATGCATGATTTTCAATATAAAGAATATTGCTAATTTTACAACTTGATTTAAATGGGATAATTTGAGTCACAAATCTTTACTTAGGTCCATGAAACCTAAAGGTTTTATGAAGCCTAATGCAGAATTAAAATATTACCTGATATTATATTAATACAAATAAAATTAGGGCTAAGTAAGTTTCTGCTTTTCAGTTAACCTATTTGGCTGTAAAATCAATTATTTTACACCTCTTATGGACATGGTGTTCTGAAAAACTTTACTGGGAAGTAGTTAATGTTTTAAATAAACTGAAGCATTACTCAATCTAACAAAGAGTAAATGAAAAAAAGCACCTCGTATTTATTATGGAATGCTGAAATGTGATAGCTGTCTTGCAAAATACCATGTTTTTTTTGTGTGCTTGTGTTGGGTTTTTTTCTGTTTGTTTATTTGGTTTTTTTTTAATGTCCTGAATGCTTCCTGAGAGCCTAGGCTTCATTAGCTTATAATTACTTGAGCATTGTGTAGTGTAAATTAATTTTGAGCATATCTAATTTTTCATGGAACGCAATAGGAATTTCCTGTGGATTTGTCAGCTCAAGTTACTTTTGAGGACTTAAACTGTCCACCCTTAATATTGACATTCCCAGGGATTATAATAGTAACTTTTATTCAGATTTGTGTTTTTGGGGTTTTATCAGGTTTATGTTCAGGCTTGATTCATGTTTATGTTTTTCTGCTTTGTCTTATGGCATAGAACTTTTTATTTCTCTTCAGACTTAAGTAATTAAAGTCATTGTGTGAAGTAGAACTGAAGCTATTTCTATATGCTTAGCCAACAAAAAGCTTTCTCATATTTTATGTTGTCTTTTACAGATTTTTTTTTTTTTGTAGTAGTAGTGATACTGTATGTGAGTTCATGAATGAAGTGACATATTCTGAGGTATTTGCTCCCAGTATGGTTTTGTTATTGAGGTAATTTGGGAGCTCCATGACTGAGAATATTAATTTGGAAAATAAATCCCTTGTTCTATTCTGTCTGAGAGGTTTACTTGTGTTAAGTAGTTGTAATACACTTTCTGGTGGGAATTTCTTAAAGACTGGAAATGAGAGAGATATAAAAGGTTTGTAAATAATTTTGATCTCTTAAAATTTGTTTAAGTATTGTAGACTTGGTTTTAAAGCCAAGTGCTTTGTCTTTAGAAGGATGGTGAGGCATTATTTTACAATTGATAATTTGCTTTTCATCTTGTTAGTGGAAATGCCAGAGAAGTGCCTTATGTGAAATGACACCATCATGGGACTGTCCTTTAACTTTTGTTTCTTCTAATTTAAAGTGTTCATCTTTGAGTGGAGCTGTTTCAGAGAGAATTATGTTGTAGATATAAGCAGTTCATATTTCTTGTCTCACTGTTTTGTTTTGTCTTCCACAAATTCTTGATGTAAGCAGCTTCTAACTAAAAATCTCTGCAACTTTTCTCCTAAGGTTTATTGGCATCCAAAGCTGTTGTTGCAGATGGTGCTGAAAAAAAGGAAGGCAGCAAAGAAACAGCTCCAGTCCTGGAGCAGGTATGAAATGGTAGAGTTTGATTCTTTTGCAAGGTTCCCACTGGAGTGTGCCATGGAGATGTAGTACCTACAACATTAAAATATGCCCCTTCAGATATAACAGGGAACTGAAAATTGATCTTATGTTTACATTTCTGGCAGAGCCAGAAGTATGGAATTTAATTGTCTCTAAACACAGTGTTGACCTGAATTTCAGTAATGAGCTTTTGTGTTAGAAAACTAGCAGAAAACAAAAAAATGAAGTCTCTGTGCAACAAATGTGAGGAGACTGGTGTCCCAAGGTCCAGTTTTATAGCTGGAACCATGACCATGACTGGTTTAGGAAAAGGCCCTTACACGAATTTAATTTGTGTTTGAAACAGGGTTTTTGACATCATGTAGAACTTCTTTTAAAAGAAGTTTCTTTTATATTGTAAGAATTTGGTGTTGTAGGCTTGTATGTGTTTTATGAACCGCTCAATGAGCCATACATTTTGCAAGGGTGTGTATTTTAATAAATACAAAAAAGAAACTTTTAAATAATGTTAAGGGTCTGATTTTAAACCTGCATATTTGCAGGACCTGAAGGCTGCCATTTTATCTTTGGCTTATTCTGTTGTGTTCAGGCGTTGCTTGACTCTGAGTTGTGCATTATCTTGCATATTAAAAGGGCTGAATGCCTAAGCATGGTAAAGCAAGCTAAGGATGAACAGTCTTGATTCAGGACATCTCTCTTTTCAAATGATTTAAATCAGAGCCTTAATGTAGTTTTAATACGGCTTTTTTGTATTCATTTTCATTCTTCTTTAACAGCAGCTTTTGAATAAAATAGCCTTGCTGCCCACAATCCTTAAAAGAGCACTTCTGTTCTCAAGCCCCGGCACACTCTATGAACAGTCCCTACCCCAAACTTTCTTTGATATTTTGGTTGTACTGGTTCTTTAGAGCTGATATATAATTGCATTGCTGTGGTTTTTCCATTGACACTGCATTGGATGCAAGTCTTGTCAATGGAACATGATTTTCTGTTTTTAATGCTGTCACTGTAACGGCTAACTGAGCCACTACGGTGTCAATGCATTGACCAATATTTTGCATAAAGGTTTACAATGTATTGACATGACATTCCATTTCTCAAATTTTTGCATATTAAAGATGCTATGATTTTATTGCTACTGTGTGTGATATTTTCAATGTGCAAAAAACTGTGAAATGGCTTACAGCATGCTGTTTTTGGAAGAATCATTACAATGTAAATCTTATCATGCAGAATCCCATTACGGTGAATGGGACTTTGTGGTTTACATAGACTGTGTATGCAACAGTATAAACTACAGTGCATATTTACTAAAAACTTTTTGTTACTTCTTAAACTTAGTAACTCGGCTGTTTGTTTTATTGATTAGATATAAAAAAAGATGTCTCTGTCATTGTTTACATGCTAATGGTCTGAAAAACCTCATTTTTGGAAATACTAGTTAAGCTCTTTTAAAGAGGCATCTGAAATCCTAAATTGTTCTATTCCTTTGCTTCTAACTAAAACCAGAAACCTCACAAACATTTAAAAGATTAACTGTGGGGAGGAAAATTTTTGAGCTTAAAGCTTTTTTTCACCAAGTTCCTGCCCAAACTCAGTTTAAAATGGCCGAGTTATAAACCTCCCCAAAAGGTTTTCCAGTATCAAAGCCGACATTCCTTAGAGGTTTTGTCTGCTACTGCTATAAGTTGAATGGTAAAATATCTTGTAGGTTTTTTTCAATAATGTAATACAGAACATGGTAGAAGTATTCAGGCCAATAGCCGAAAACTGACGTTGTTGTTGGAAGTTTATTTTATTTATATATTTTTAGTTTACAGTTGTTTTAAACCCAAAACCTCAGCCGATTAGTTGCAGATACAATAGTTTATTTAACTGTATTAGGGTATGTCATGTTATATTTCCTTTTGACCAAGACCTGATTAGATGAATAACATTAATTCATTGAGGTTTTTAATGTTAATTTGTCCTGTTAAGAGGTTAAGCACCTTATCAAAATATTAATTTAATTTTTTTAATCTTGTTTAAATAACTTTGTAATTTGAAAGTAATGGATGCTGTAGTAATGTCTTTCACATATGTGAAGATGAACAATAAAATTGTTTATTTACAAGTTACGACTCTAATTAATTTCTGGTAATACCTCTCATAACCAGCATAGGTATACTCTACAGTTCATGGAATATTTTGTTTAAATGAATAAACTGCACTTAGTACATGTGTAATTGAGTTATTCAAGGTAGAACTGATGTCTGCTGAATGGGATGTTTTGCACCGGATCTTTACATGAAAATTCCAGCAAGCTATTCAGGGGTGCCCTTTTACAAACATAGAATGTGCACTTGTGTGTTTTTTTGTTTTGCCCTTTTTTTTTTTTTCTCCATTGGCACATGGAAAGTTCCAGTGGAAAATAAAATTGCAATTTATAACAAAACCCAATAATACCCTCAAATCATCAGACGTGACATTTTTAGTTTGGATAAAGTGGTGCACGCATTCTAGAAATATCTTTCTACTTTGTTAGTTTTGGTTTTATTAAACGGTACTATGCTGTGTAATGTAACTGGGACAAGAAAGGGGACAGGTTTAAGAAATTATGTTCATATATTGTAGTTTGGCATTGTTGGGCAAGTCGTAACACATGCACAGTTTATTCAGTGAAGTAGGAAGAACTTCCAATTAAAAATCTAAAATGCTAATGTCTGTCAATGCATGCTAATTGTCTAAAAATACTACTTCAGTATGTGTGTTAAGAAGGATGAAAATTGATGAAATTGGAAAGCTTCGTTATGTGTTGGGTTTTTTCTTTTTTTTTTTCTTCAAAAACTGTTTTAACTCTTTATCTGCTCACTTTTCCCCAACAGTTAGAAATCTATTTAACCCTGTGGTGCTAGAAGTTGTGATTTCTTCATGTGTTTGCACAAACATATAATGTGGTGAAATCCAGACTCCCAGCACTGAAAGGGGTTGTGTGAGAGTGTGTTCAGCATTTGGAAACTTTTTACTGCTTTCAGACATTCCTTAAAGGAGCATTATCAACTTTTTCAGGTTCTTCTCTAAAAACGACGTTGGTGTTAAAAGTTTTCCTGAGGAACTTTTTTAAACTTCTTTTGCTATGGTGAGGGAAATGACTGTGAAGGGAAAATCTTGGCAACTTTTTTTAGAACTGCAGTCCTCTGAACAAGGATTTCCTGCTCATAGCAGTGCAAAAGCCTGTCAGAGTTCAGCGAGTGTCTGGATGATTCTCTTAATCATATGGTTTAGTGTTAGGCAGTCCTGCAAGGAGCAGGGAGTTGGACTCTCTGATCCTTACGGGTTCCTTCCAGCTTGAGATATTCTATGATTGTACATCGGTTATACATGTTCTGGCTTGTAACAAGTGTTCTCCAAGTTATACTTTGAGACAGCACTGACAGTCCTGGTCTACTGGAGATGAAAGAGAGTAAAAGTAAAAAGACTTTGGTGAATTTTTAAAGTGGGAACAGAAGAATAATGTTTTGTTTTCAGGCTTTTTGCAGGTGTTTCAAATAGTAAGAAATGAGGATGTTTTGAATACTGAAAATAATTGATAATGCTCCTTTAAAAAAAAGTTTAATGTGATGCATTTAAATAGTTTTAATTTGTACTGAAAATAATGTTGCTTTAAAATGTGTTTTGAATACTAAAGTTGCTTTAAAAAGATCAAAATAGAATACAAGAACTACAGCGAAGAAACTGAAATAAAAGTATCAATTTTTTATTATTTATTCAGGAGATTTCACCTAAACCACAAAGTCAGAAAAAAAATGAAGCTGATATTAGCTGTTCTGCCAACATTCAGAAACCTGCACTGTTATCAACTTTGTCTTCAGGAAAGGCTCGCAGCAAGAAATGCAAACAAGAATCTGGAGATTCTTCTGGGTGTATAAAGCCCCCTAAATCACCACTTTCCCCAGAATTAATACAAGTCGAGGATTTGACGCTGGTCTCTCAGCTTCCTTCTTCTGTGATAAATAAAACTAGTGAGCACAGACATTTTAAAAAAAATACCGTGATTACTTATAAGAGATATACAGAAATTTTTTTTGGTTGTAAATGGCTATTGCTTTTAAAAATGAATCTGCTTTAAATAAAAGGTCCAAGCGGGAGAATTAGAGGTAGCTCAGTATTTTAAAAGTTAAGTCACATAATAAGGCATATTAATTACTCTACCGGAAAGAATACATTTAAATAATACATTTATATTTATAGAGTCATGGCTTTTAATGGTTGGCTTTCCCTCCAGCTTAAATTTCCACGTTAGTATTAACAGTGATACAGGAAAATCAAACCTCTCTTCTGAAGGGGCCTGATTCATTAAAAAGAAAAGACATATATCTTAGTTGTGGACCTTTCCTTCTCTGAGAAATTCCACCTTCAGCAGGCTGATGTGCTGTACCTGTTGGCTGTGGCATTCTTCACCTTATGTGATATTTCCTCCAAATATGATGTGAAAGAAAAGATTGGGTTCAAGATCTGTAGTGAGGAAATATGAAAAATCGTGTTTCTTTGTCTCAGAAAAATAGCATAGGTGTTCAGCTTCTTAATGTGTAACTGATTTGCAAAGTACCAAAATATTGATTATCAGAAGACCAGGGAAAAGTGTTTGCTGCATCCTTGAATATTCTATTCTTTGTGAATATGAAAATGAAAATTTTTGAGATTACATTAGGCTTTTAGCGTTGCTTAGGGTCATGCTCTTTGTTGCCTGAACAACATTAAATGATGAGGCCAAGAGTTAAAATAAATGTGGGTTTCAGTATATCAAAAGCTACATTTTTGTCTCACTTTTAGAATAGTGATTGAGGATGGAAGACTAAACCTGCATTGTGTGTTCCCTTTAACCTCGATTTGATATTTTCCCTTAGGAGATAAGTTTCTTTTAATCTTTTCTCACAGATAACTTTAAATGAATGGGAGAGGGAGGGGTGCAAATTCAGCCATCTGTATTTATTCAGGACACATTGGTATAAATTATATTTTGTCCCTACAAAGTATTAGCAGTCATCTATATTATAATACGCCTTCCCTCCCCACCCCTAAAATAATGGTAAGTAGTTTTCCTTTAGCATGTTTGTATATTGGATCAAGTCAAACTTTTCTGTAGCAATATTTTAAAAACTAGCTAATTTAAAAATTAGTTACTTAATAGCTTAGATCTTGTTAGTGCTGTCTTTTATTCTTTGGCTTCCGAATATGTCCATTAGAGATGGTAAAGATAAGTTTGCTATGTATTTATTTTTAAATCTGTACATCTTTGACTCAAAAAACTGCATAAGAAAAGGATAGGACAGTGATTGACAGTGTAATAATGACTTCAATGTTTTTCTAAGGCAAAAGTTTGTGAAACTGGGTAAAATTGGAGAGGTGTAGGGGAGTGTGTTTTTTTTGTTTTTAATGAATCAGGCCTATATTAACCTATATCAATCCTCCCCTTCCCCTGTTTTTTTTTTGTTTTGTTTTGTTTTTGTTTTTTTGTTTTTTTTTTTTTAAAGTATAAATTTCTTGAGCCTTTGTACTGTGCCATGTATTGGCAGTGTGCATTTGAAATACAGTTGGGGTATTGATATCAGGTTAGCAGAAGACAGGAGGTGGGCTATAAAAATAACTACTACTTTTGATTATTTTTTTTTTTTAAGCTGTATGTTAACGCTATCCGTGACGTTTTAGACCTTTAACTATGATCATTTGTTCTGTTTACTGTTAAATCCTATTGCCCCCCCTTCCATTATAAGTAGCCTACTCTCATGGGTTGTATGGGGGGTTGCTTATTGTAAATACACTGTTTGCCTAAAACAACAGCCTTTATCAGCGGGGAAGTAGGTGCCCTGATAATGTATAATAAGCAAAAAGCAGCATCATGTCTTGAGCATAACTTTTTTTTTGGTGCTCCTGGTGGTCACAGTTTTTAATTACTTCTACCAGGTCTGCTGTGATTACCAGTTTTGCAAATAAGACCTATTTAAAGCATTCCCCATCTATAGATCTCAGATACTGCGGTAAGATTATGGTATATCTCTCTGCTTCATGAACATTGAAAGATCTCTTTTTAGGTCCATCACAGCCAGTGAATTCCCCTAGATCCTACAAACATAGCCAACGGAGAAGAAGATCACAGCGTTTAGCCACTTGCTCCTTGCCTGATGATTCTGTAGAAAAAGTTTCTTCTCCCTCTTCAGTTACTGATGGAAAAGTGTTCTCCATCAGTGGTCAAAACCAACAGTCATCAAAGTTGGAGGGTAATGTATCTTAATCTAATAAAGAACTGCCCGAGAGAAATTGAGTCATAAAAATTAGACCTTTCACGGTTTTCATCTAATGGGATCTTTTGACTTACTATAGCTAAAGCTGTATGCTGTTCCTATGTTATGTAATGCTGCAATCCAAACTGTTGTTTGTTGGACCTATATATCTTTTTTTAATATTACATTTTTTCTTTTATGTAGTACCTGATGTTGCTCATATGTCACTTGAGAAGCGTGGACCATGTCTCCCTCTTGATTTAAGCCGTAGTTCGGAAGTAACAGCACCATTATCCACAGAATCCACTTTCCGTAATGAATATCCCAGTAAAGACAAGGAAGATATTCAGATGATTACATATCTTTCTTCCAAAGCAGTAACTGATGGAAGAGTAGCTACAACAGCGTCAGGTAAAAAGATTCAGTATACAACCAGTTAGGTTTATAGTTTAGGGTTAAAATGTGTATGTAGTCAGTCATACAGAATGAGGGGGATACTTTTGGGGAGGGGTTTGTTTTGGTTTATTTTTTGCCCTCCCTTTCTGCACGTTCACAAACCTGCCACTCTTTCTGGGGTCCATCTGTCAGCATATTCTTCGTCTTCCACTGGCTTTGAGCTGCATTAGCACTTTTTCTAACACACTTTAAGGAGGATCTGAGAGTGTGGAATATAAAAAGCATTATTTCTTTCAAAAATATTTTATATTGTTAAAACTCACAAAAATAATTTATGAAGTAGTTTACTAACATATTAATATATACTAAATCTAGATGTACTCATTTATCTTGTGGTTTCAGCTTTAAAACTTAGTAGCATTTTCAAAGACAGCCGGCACTCCTCTACCTTTGCTTCTGTTTCCAGTGGAAATTTTGTCATTTGCTTGCTACAAAATGTTACTTGAAAATATTTCTGAAAAATCCTATACAACTTATATAGACTTGGTTCACCCTCACAGTGTTAGCATAGAGACCTATACTGGAACTTTGTGTTGCCTCTCATTTTGTAACAGTTTACTGGCTACTGTCGTTTAAGTAAATCACCTGTGTAGAGGCAATTAAGAGTTTTGGGGAAGGGTTTACATAGTGGTTTGTAGACCCTAAAAGTGCATTGTTTTCATCCAGTGTGTGTTAGGAGTCAATATGCTTTTTTCATAAATAAGTCTGTTACATGAGTGAGTATCATACCATTTTTAATTGGTTTCCAAGAAAGAATTCTCACAAGCCTTTTTTTTTTGGTTTGTTTGTTTGGGCTTGTTTTTTTTTTTTTTTTTGTTAAATGAGAAAATTGTTCAATAAAGAGGAGGAAAAATCAAATTGTATTCTACTGGGGAAGTTTTTGGTAAATGTAGTTGATATTAAGGGAGGACAACATGACTTTAAGGTATATAATTATGGCACTCAAACTATAACATAGTCTTGTTTGCGGGGACGGGGGGGAAAAACTCTACATTAGGCTGATAGTATAGCTGAAGTGCTCAATAGGTCAGTGAAGCATTTTGTTTAGTAGGTACATCCCCTTCTTGGGTGTCTGCCCACACATATTCCTACTGAATGTGTAAGTTGATCGCTTCACTGAGTTGTAGCATGACTATTTAACCTGATGTTGCAAAATCTGGGTATGATTCTTGGATCAATATTGCATAGATTAAAATAGATGACTGTAATTATCCTTCCTCTTGGAAAAAAAAAAATGTATTTATCTCTTAGCCCTTATTTTGACAAATTTAGTTTACGGGAATTTCTAATGAGCTGCCACTTAAGCTTTTAAAAATATCACTTGGTTTCTGGAGTGAAACCATGTGACAGTCTTCACTTGCCTTTGATATACTACATAGCAGTAAAATTACAGATTCCAGGGAAAATTACTTCTCTAAAAGTCCTTTTACCTTACGTCTTCTGCCACTAAGAGAAGTGCTTTTGGGAGTTGTATGTTTGCCCACTCAGAACAAGATCATAGAAGAAACCAACAGCTTCCAACTGCCATCTGTTCCTTGCTTATTAGAACTCATTTCAGTTACTAGAATTTTGACTACTGGCTTTTCTGATACATTTTCTGGATAATTTAATGTGTAGTTGTTAATGCTGACAGGTATTTATTTTGTTGCCTGCTTCTGTCATGCGGCTGGCTTAGAGTCTGGGTGAGCTGCTTCTAAACCCAACATCCATGAGTATACTTGTACCTGTTTATTTCTAAAGCTGGGTTTTGGTCTTGGCCACAGCTGAGTCTAATTAAAGAAATAACGTTTCATTTATACCCACCTTTATTTATGACTCAAAAATGTTTGACACTGTCCACACACTTTGTGTCAGGGGAAACCATTGAGTCCAGAGTAGGAAGATGGAAGCACTTAAAACTATGCTGGAGGATACAGTTTATACTGTATTTAAAGTTTAATGGAGCTTTTTTTGACATACATAATTTTGTTGTAAGCTCTCAAGAAACTGATTTGCCAGCTACCTTTTTGTCTCTGGGTTTTTTGCCTTCCAGACAGACCTGTGTCTTGTTCTTAATTTTCATGTATTACAGTTTTTGTCCCTGCAATAGAGCTCTACCTTGAGCTTTCATACTGTCTTTTTGTCCAAAAGTTAGAAGTTTTCAGAATTATGGAGCCCAGCATCCACTTGAGCTGTATAAGCTTTGTGGGCTGAAAGACTAATCTAAGCACTTTGATATCTTTAATTCAGAGATTTCATAGAAAGTTTTGGAGCTAGTTGCCTCTGTAAGTAGTATCTCTAGGACTCTGTAACTGACATTCTGGGTTCATCTCTGGCTTCTAACTCTGGTGAAACTAATTTGCTCCTATCCTTCTCATATTCTTAGAAGAAAAACTAAAATGTAGCTTTTCAGTTTAGGCTTGAAAGCTCTGGAGTTACTCTACACTGTTGAATAGTTTTTGTTGTGCTCTCTGCTTTAGAAGGCATCTTTTTAGTTTTGAAATAACACAGGTTCTCAAGTCATGTTACTTAATCACACATATCAAATTCTTACATGCTTTAGGAGAATTAATATAATCCACTCGTTTTATCGCTACTTTTTCTTTTCTAATGAATCTGTTTAAACAATGGCAAGCTAATATATAAAGAGGGGCCCAAAGCTTTCCTTTCTCATACCTGTCAATGCTTGAAATTAATGAGAAGCTAATTTGCGTTATTCATGAACATCTGCCTGCCTGAGTGTAATTTAATATATTGCATTGTTTAGTTTCTGCATTGTGACTCTATAGACTATACGTCTTGAGAACTCTCATGTCAAATGCAGACTATTCTGTAATTGTCTGCTTTTTTGAATCTGAAAGACCTATTTTAAATCTGTGTCCTTTTATGATACTTCTGCTGTTTGGATTTTATTGGCATAGCTTGGACAGATCCTTGTGTTCCAGATTTTGAGAAGACTGTAGAATTTGCTAAGTGCACTTAAGTTGGACCTGCTGTCTTTTGTAATCATTGAACGAGATAACTGTAGATAGTTTCAGAAATTATGGATCTAACAGAAATATTTAGCATGAAGCAGCCTTATTATGATTGCCGACCCTTCTGTAAAAGACCTGTACTGTTTTAGACTCAGATGCAATTCATGGCTTTGGAAGTTTAGACTTCTGATGGAGGCTATCAGTTGGGTCAATTGAAAAAAATAATTTTATTATTGGAAATCGTGTTTTAATTACTTCTTTATTAAAAAGCTTCTAACTTAGTGTTTTACAAAGGGGAGGGATGAGATGCACTGAAGTGCAGAAGCATAAATTGTAACAGTATTAACATATACATTCCTTCTCAAAATCATTGCTTAAAATGATCAGCTTATTTCGTAAAGACAGCACAGAAGCACTGTGATCAGTTCCTTCAGTCCACAGGCTACATGGAAGTACTGTGCACTTTGGCAGACACTGGTACACTGCCAGTTAATTTCTGAACATTTCTGAACTGCTTTGCCTAAACTGGTGCATGGACCTACTTGTGATCACCTGATATTGCACACATGACTAAGAATCCATGATTTCATTTGTCAAACTGCTTAAAAAGAACTGGCCTTTTTGTCACTTAGCCTTTCATAGGCTTTAAATTCTCAGTCAGTCTGAATACATGGAAAACACTGTGGTTTTCCAGTTCATACTACATGAAGTTCATATCTTTCTGTAATTATAATATTCTTCAAATCTGTGGTCATTTTTATTGGTTTCTGTAACTCTGCAACATTTGTGTTAGTTTAACTGTTAAATATTGAGCAAACACAATGTCAGCAAGCAATCTGGGGTTTCAAATTTAAGTAGAAGGAAAATAGTACATTTACTAATACAATAATATTAATATAATATTTATAATAATATAACAGCTAATGATAATATTGTTCTTTCCTGTTCTAGCTCAGACTACAATGATTGTGCTAGTAGGGTAACATAGGCTAACTATATGGGAAAAAGTTGCACTTAGGCTAAAATAAAAAGTACTGCATACTTTTATATAATTTTATTGATAACAGTTTACTGCAGCAAGAACAACAAACGGCTGATGTACAAAATTTTCAGAAAAATGAGATCAGTTGCTTTTTAATAAACTCTTGCCAGTGTTATTGGTTACCCTGCTTTTAAGTGGTATCTAGACTCTAGTGAACTAAAGCTCTTGTTACTTCGGAACTGTTTGTTTTACACCTAACATCTATTGACAGTCAGGTTTACTCCCTAATTTGAATGTCTGCCATTCTAGTCTCCGCCCTGAAGTTCCCAGCTGATTCTTGGGGGTAGTTAGCTGAAGGGAAGGAAGAAACTTTCATGTCCTTATCCTTCCTAAAGAAATCATTTTGTGCAGGCTCTGGTGCTAATCTATAATATGTATTGAAAGTACATTTAGATATAAAAATCATCTTATGCACTAGGAATTCAAAACACAGAATTAATTATGATAAGACCATGAATTATGCTGGTCATGTTATGGTTAAAGTTGTATATTAATGCACAGGCTGATACTTCTGTTATTAGGAAAGTTGAAACGTCAGAAGCCATGGAACAGAATATCATGCAGCAAAATAAATCGCTTCACATTGGTACAATTTATTTTAATTTGCTGAACTGAAATAAGCAGTACCACTAAAAGCCCGTCTGTGCTGCTGCACTTGTAGCGCAGCATCCTGTTCTCTGCCTGCGCTTGCACGAGGGAGGCTGGTGTCACTTCACCATGCCAGACCAGGAGAGGTAGCATTGGAAATGTGTCATAAACTGGACTGGAAAGTGCTGTGGTTTGCATTGGGTTTTAATATGAAATCAGTGTTCTGGTGATAAAATTGATCTTAAAACAAAAACACAATCAGTAGTTTATCAAACCTAATATCTAAGCATCTTTCTCTCTGCTGAGTGTTAATTGCAGACCTCCCACGTTGCACTGTGTGGGAAGTGCCTGACTAGACTCTCAACAGGAATAAAATTGCAGTTAAAAATAACAGCTAAAAAAAAAGATGGTAATATTTCCATAAATTAATTTTTTTATAAACTAATATTTTTCTTGCTGTATTTGTTACTTGCCCTTCAGAGTGTGATTATCTACTTTGTCTAATTTTGTAGTTATTTGTAAGACACAGTGATTGCATTTGATTGCATAGTTGACAATCAGACTTTGCAAGACTTAACAGTTTATTTCAGATTTGAGAATTTAGAATTCTTAATCTAGAATGATTTCTGATTAATAAAAGTAAAAGCCAAGAATAACATCACAGTGTGTGCAGGCATAATAGTAATTTCTCTTTTCAGGTTTCTATAGAAAGGCAGTCTGGAGAGCTCTGTCATTTTGATGGGTATTTGTGTGACTGTAGCAGGTTTCTGTCCATCATAAATGTTTCCTCAGACAGTTATTTACTTTCTAGCTGATTACTTTGTCAGATGGGCTTGTGTTGAAAATTACTGAGATACTGAAGTTTGTGTTGTGACTATTGATACCAGGGCACGTTTGGATGTCTGAGGTTAGGATTTCTTATGAATAATTAAGTTTGAATACTAATTCATCTAATATTGAGACTAAATTACTACTGAGAGTGTTTAGATGGAGTATTCTCACACCTTTTCATCAAAATGTCTGTGACCTAACCAAATTGTGTGCATTTGGGTGATCCTTTTGTGCTCTTTTTGGAAACGAGACAAGATGTTGATATCACGATGATTTGGAGGTGTCACTTTTTTCTTTTACTGAGGTGCTAAAATATACTTACTGCTCCACAGATGGCAAAGCAGTTCAGTCCTGTAACGGAGACAAATGTTAATTAGGAAACTGAAGAAAGGAATAATCTGGATAGTGTTTTGTATTGATGAGAAGTATCCCAGCAAGTTAAATCCACCTGAAATACAGACAAAAGCATGAGCCTGAATAGTAAACCAGTCTTGACAGGATTATGGTTTTAGGTGGAATGGTTGATTTGAGGGAGTGGAAAGGCTCAGGTGGCCTCAGCCCTGGTCACTCAGTTTGTGTTAAAAGCCAGCACACAGAACTGAGCAGCTGCTGCTGGCTGCTGGCTAGATTGCATGCTATGGTCATATCTTGCAGCTGGGAACTTCTGGCATTTTAGGTGCTCTGTGGTTGGTAGGTGACATACCACTTTAGATTGCTTTTGCTGCCTCTGTGGCTTTCTCACCCTGTAGCATTGATTGTTTTCCTGAGAAGGCTACCTAGGAGCTGGAGTAACTCTCATGTAATGTGTATATTGTACTGTAGTAGAATTTGGTTGGTCTCTCCAAGTCTGGAAGACCACCTTACAGAGTCAACCCTGAGACATTCTTGCCTTTTCCCCAGAATTCTGATATGACTGATGAATTCAGTAAAGTATATTAACACTGCTTATTTAAATTCTTTGTTGTTAAATTACTAATTAATAATAATAATAAAAAAAAAAAGCCAAACCCCACCACAAATAAAAGGAGGAGCTCAAATAATCCATTCCAGATCAGCTTCCTGTTTTGTCTTGTTTAATATCTTGACTGCTGGCAGGTATTTTTCAGGACTTTTTTTGGTTCAGCACTTTAACCCTCAAGTGTTCTTTTACGTGCTGATACTTTTGTTGGGCTCATATTTTGAGAGACACCAAAGGTGACTAGTAACTCCAAGTGTTTACAGCTAGCATTGAGAAACCTGAACCCCTTAGGACTTTGCAGGGCTGCATTTTTGTACAGTATGCTATCAGCATGGTCCTGAAATCTCCTCAAGGCTCTGATGAAGATTAGGCTTTCCTAATTACATTTAAATGAAAATTGAAGATCTCACAATATTAATGAACACAGTAATAGGGAGTTTTGAATTACTTCAGTATTGTTCTTTATAAATAACTTTCATTCTAGTTTGATTATTTGAAAATTCCATTGTCCTATTTGATTATAAATATTAGCAATGAAAGTTATAATTTGAGTTTTGTTTTGCCATCTTATTTCCTAATTTTCATCAGATAAAGATTAAAAAATAACTGAATATTTCACTGAATAAACTTTTCTGAATAGTTCAAGGTAAGAATTGTCACTATATGATGCTGAACTCTGAAAAATGATCACAGTATTTTTTATGTAATTCAAATGTGAATTAAATACACATGACAGTGAATGATTTAAATATTATTAAAATGAATGAAAAATTCAGTAATCAGAAGTGTAAATTTTATACATGGCACTAAAAATGTTGTACCAGAGCTTAGTTTTTCTGTTCACACAATGGAATGTTAACTTAAATGATATTGACAATATCAGCACCTTTAACACCGTTGAAGTGGGTTTGTATTACAGTGAAATAAAAAGGAAACAAAAAGGCTTAGAAATAGCAGAAAAAGTATGCTTTAAAACAGTATAAGCAGTTTAAAAATGCAAATGCCAAAACAGGCAAAGGAACCTTCTGTGGCATGTATTGCCTTATATGTAAGACTAGGACCTAGGCATTCACATGCAGGAAATATGTGAAGTGTGATGATATTATTACCAGTAGTTGACGTTTCAGTGATCTGACCCAGCCAGTGATCTGGCTGCAATCCTTACAGAATGCCTAGTAAATCTGTCTTCTTGTTTTCAGCACCCTCGTCCCATGTACATGCCTTACATCTGGAAATGCCTTTAACCAATAGTCTAAAGTTACCCAAAGGGAATAGTAAAAAAAAGAGGTCTTCCACATCAGTGAGCTCTGAAGGGACAGAGATACAGTGCTCTGTGCCCATAAAGGAGAAATGTTTTGAGAGTCTGAAGGAGAAAATATTAAAGAACGTGATTGAGAAGGACAAGCATTCAGAAGTTGGTAAACTACAATACTTTTTGTTTCCAGTGCTTTAGACAATAAAAATAATCGTAACGTGACATTAAAAATAATTATATTTTTTGTATGTTTCGTACTATTATTACCGGTAGGACTTTTTATGGTCTAATGACTTTTACAAGAAAGTGGGTCATCAGCCAGACATTTCACTTATGTCATATTCTTCTTCAATTTGCAGGTGCAGTGCGAATGGAAAGAAAAGGAAAACTGGAAGAGAAAAGTTCTTCAACATATGGTATGTACAGAGCAATAATATTTTTAGGAAAAAAGGAAAAACTCTCTAACGCTTGATGTCTCTGAAGTGCAAATATAAAAGCGTAAAATATTTCCTGGCTCAGCTGCACTTCTTTTGTTTGTTTAGGTCTTAAAAATATTTTTATATATGTGAGAAGCTTATAGTAGAAGAATAATTTTATAAGAGAAAAAGAAAGTGCCCACAGGAAGGATTTGGAAGGATCCAGAAATACAGATGAGAGGCCTGGGAACAAAAAAAAGCTTGCTTTTTTTTTTCCCTTTTTTTTTTTTTTTGGTTGATTCGGTGATAATGCTTTATTTCCTTTTACTGACTGATTTGGGAGGGAGGAGAAAACAGTTAAGTGTTACTAGCAAAGCATTTGGCAATTCTTGAAAGAAAATCTAAATTAAGAGGGCTTTGCTTTTATCCTGTGTTTAAAACAAGGAAGGTAAAAAAAAATAAAAGATGGACAAGAATTCATAAGTGATTCTGCCTTGTTTTTCCATGAGGTAAAAGCTCTGTTTCAGTATTTCCCAAGAAGATAATGAGACTCTAATTTGTGTACGGGAAACAGTCCTTATATACTGACTTTAAGGAATTATTTTCTGTAGGAAGTCAGTTTCCTCATTAGTTCTCTCACTGCTGATTACTTAGAAAATTGTTATGGAGTGAAAATATTGTCAGATGTATTTTGTCTGAGCAGAATTAACAGGATAAATAGAATTTTTCTGAGACGAAATACTTGCCTTCATGCATATACCAACAGTGGTTAGAAGTGGACTGCAGTGTAAAAAATATATAGTAAATTTTAGTCAGAATCAGTTTTCTATGAGGATATTGCTGTGTAGTAGAAAGTGCTGACAGCATCAGCAGTTTCGTGATACTGAAATTTTCTTCAGATAATTTTGATACACTACTATGTATTTTTTAAGATCATGTTATCTTTTCAGCTTGGAATTTTGTACCTTTAAAAGCTTTTTTCTCTTGTCCAAACCTTTGTGTTATAAGGTGTAAGTAAAATAGATGTTATAAGCTGTTTAAATACTGTCACTTATTTTGTGTGCTTTGCTATGTCGTCTTCTGCTACAATTCCTCCTTTGGAAATACTTAAAAGGGTAAAATGTTAATTGAGAGAGATTCCTTTGAACCATTCTACCAATGGTAATTGGCAATTAATAGGAGACATGCCCAACATACCAAGTAAATTGACTGACTCATTTTGATCTGAGGAGGCAACTGGAATACTTGATTTTGAGTCATGTTTAGGTTAAGCCATACGAGGCAATTAATTAATTTGGAATACTAATGCTGTTTTAAAATGTTTAATTTCTATTTCAGGTAAAAAGAAAGAGAAGGAAAAGGAGAAAAAAGAGAAAAAGGAGAAAGATCATAAATCAAAGCAGAAAAAAAAGAAGAAAAAAAAGAAGAAATCTAAACAGCATGGTAAGTTCAATTTACATTATTTCAAATAAGCAGAACCACTCAGTGTATTTCTGGCATTAGCTAATAAAACTTGACTCTAAACAATATGAATCTGAAATTTTAAAAATGTCAAAGAAATAAGTTATGGCCTTATATGCTGAAAGGACACAGCTCTATGACCTTATTTTTGTGTTTATAACTTGTTTCTGCATGATAGACATACATATCTCATAGATTTTTTTTTTTTCCTTCAAAAGATAGGCTCGCTTTCCTCATCTCCAAATTCTTCATTTGAAACTGTATACACTCCTGTGTATTTTAATTGAACACTAAAATTATTCTAGTATCCAATCTGTTGCTAAATTTCATTGGTTTACTGTATAAAACGCCAGCCCTTCCTTAAGTTAGTCCTTAATAGCTAAGGTAGGTGTGTCTGCAACAATCTTGTCTGTTGTCTTGTCAAATGGTGATCCCATTTGTCTTCGTCTCACTTCCCTATTCTAATTCTTTGATCATATCGCTCATCTTTTTTGTTTTCTGTTCCCTAAAGGTACAAAAACAATTTTTTTTTTTTTTTTGTACGAGGCTATAGGTAACTTTTGCTTTTTTAGCAAAACGAAACCCCTTTTCATACCACTTTGTGATTTTTTTTTTTCCTCCTTGTTTGAGAAGTATTCCCATAAAACTGTGGTTTAAAGTTTTAGTGCCATCCCTTCTCTAAATCTCCTTGCATGATTTCTGTTGAAAAAGTGGATGTTTGTGTTTTTTTTAATAAAAAGATAACTATTCTGATGACCAGTACAATTTACAGTTTCTTTGTATTTCTTCCCCTTTTCTATGTCCTTGGGTTCTTTTAATCTCCCATGAAATTACAGTGCAGGTTCCTTCGTTTACCTTTTGTTTGCATCCAGTGCAGTCTTAGTTGCAGTTTTATGGCAATTAAAATAACAGCAGAGGCAAATGCAGACTCATTCTGCCTTCTTGCCAAAGACTGAATTTTTTTTTTTGTATAACATGTCTGCTTACTTCAAAAAGTGTTTCAGGACTTAAAGTAATACAAATTTTTATGTTTCTGCTGTTTGTTTTTGCAGGGTTTTTTGAGAAAATATTTAAATACTCCAAAATTTAGAAATGAGAACTTAGACTGTCTTTCTATGCCTATCAGATTGACTTTACTTTTGTATATTTTGAGAGTGTACTTTACTAGCTATCAGTTTTAATAACTTTGATTAAAATTTCTTAAATATGAGAAGGTGAAAATTTAAAACCTATCAAACAATGAATTTTCTAAAATTCTTTCCTCAAGAGCATGTGCAAAAACCCTGTGCATCAAAGTGAGCTTCTGACCACAGGCTTTTAAAGATGCCTTGTGGATGCCTAGAGTTACGCATTTGTCTGTCCAAAATTTGTGCTATAACATGAACGTGCTCCCAAATCGTGCAGTGCTTGAATGTGAACTGAAACAATCTGGGTTTTATACATTTCACCATGATTATATTGAAGTAGTACAATTTTAAGCTATAAACTTCAATTTCTTATTCTACCAAAAAATTATTGGGAGTTTTTTACTTTCACTGGGGAGGCATCTGAGTACTTGCAAGAAGACAGTAGTAAATTCTAGGTATGCAAGAGCCAAAGAAAAGAACAAAAACCCAAAGACCCTAAGCAGTCCTGGCTACTTCAACTGTGATTATTAAAACAAGGCAGGGTTAATACTCTCCATGGGTTCCATTTTTAGGAAGATGTTCCAAAGTAATGTGCCATCACTTCTGTACAGCAATGTCCTCAGCTGCACTCTCAATGCAGTTTGATAAGTGAGAAAAATGTTTTATAGCTCTTCTATCCTTTGAGTGTATGACACTGAGCGTTGGTGTAGAAGTGTTTGAAGAAGAGCTTGCTTAAAAATAAGCAAAATAATGATTGAAGTATTTGAAGAAAGATCTTTTGAGCAGAACTGTTTTAATAGGTAACAATTTAAACTACAGATTTGAAGTAAGTTCAAAACTACAAATATATATTGTGTAATGGGGAAACATTGACTTAGTATTTCCTTGAGCCTTCTGTTTCATGTATTTCTAAATAAAGAGGTAAATAGAGAAGTTATCTGTCATCTTTGGTGTTGAATCCTGGAATTTAGATGAATCATCAGAAAAGGCTGACGTAGTGCACAGTTTAGAAGGCTTTCTAGGAGTTGGTCAGACTGGTGGCTCTCATCTGAGCACGTGATGCTTTGCTGTTCGGCAAAGTACTGTGCTTGAGGTCAGAGAGTCCAAGGCTTTGCAATGTCTGGGGTGCGCTTGGTTCTCTGGTTCCATACAGCTCTGACATGCAATGGGTTCTGCAAACCCTGTTCATCTGAAGCAATTCAATAATGCAGATATCAGAGCCATGTTCTTGTGCCCAGAATTGGTCATTGGTTTTATCTTGTTAAGGTCATAAGTTGGTTTGTTATGGGTTGGGGTTGTTTTAATTCTTTTTATTCCTTTGGTCTTTTTGACAACTTGTCTTGAAACTTAGAAGCTTGGCATAGGTACCATGCTTAGGTTCCAACTTCTAGAGGCTGTATCCAATGCTTGTAAATGTTAGGAGAAAACTATACCTCCCTATGCCCCCTAAAATATAAATCTTAAATCCAGATGCAGAAAGAAATGTGAGTAAAACATGAACATTTTATTCTTTGCAAATTCATCTTGTGAAGATCTATTTCTAGTAATCCAGAGGTATTCTGCCTGCATTTTTTTTTAAGTGAGGAAAAAAGAAAAATGCTTTGTCATATTCTGACCCTGAAAAAGCCCATTGGAAAATGATCTGTCAAAAGAAACAGTCTTCTCTTTCTCCAGAACTAGCTCACTCTACTCAGGGCATGGGCAGAAATGAAAGGGTATGAGGCATGCTCTGTTCCTTTCTAATCAAATTGAGGAATCTTGGGGAAGAAGAGGGATTGGGCACACTGTGTGCTTGAGATAAATTTTGTGCAAGGCTTTAAAACAAAACTTTCTTTTTTGTGCTCTGAGTAGATGCATTATTGGCTGTTTGTATAAAACCCATATAACACAGACGGTAGGTACTTTGTGTTATTTATACTGTTCTGTTATAGTGAGGTTGATAGCAATACAACATGAGGAAATGGGCTCAACTACTCATTGAGTTCACTCCCCTGCAGTGAATATACTTAGGAAATGTGGTAGATAGTGTGTTTTTGACAGAAGGAGGAAGTAAATATGAATAGTGGCTTTATGGAAGGTATTTAAAGAGAGAAGTATATCGTGGAGCCATGCAAGAAAACTGTAAATACAGGTGGTAATGGGAATGCTTCCTACAGAAGGATGAAGGTATAGAAATCTGATTACTCACTTTGAATATAAGTAATAAGTTTTAGGAGGAGTAAATGGCTAGCTGTTCTAACTTAACGTTTGACCAGCATAAGACAGACATGGACCTGCTCACATGGGTCCAGGGGAGGCCACAAAGATGATCGGGGGGCTGGAGCACCTCCCCTATGAGCACAGGCTGAGAGAGCTGAGGTTGTTCAGCCTGGACAAGGGAAGGCTCTGGGGAGACCTTATAGCTGCCTTCTAGTATTTAAAGGGGATCTACAGGAAAGATGGGGAAGGACTTTATCAGGGAGCATAGTGGTAGCACAAGAGGTAACAGCTTTAAATTGAAAGGGTGTAAAGGGTAGATTTAGATCAGATAGAAGGAAGAAATTCTTTACTGCAAGGGTGGAGAGGCACTAGCACAGTTTGCCCAGAGAAGCTGTGGCTGCCCCCTCCCTGGAAGGGTTCAAGGCCAGGTTGGACGGGGCTTTGAGCAACCTGGTCTAGTGGAAGGTGTTCCAGCCCATGGCAGGGGGGTTGGAAGTAGATGATCTTGAAGGTCCCTTCCAACTCAAACCATTCTATGATTTGTGATTCCATGACTTACCTGGGACAGTCTCTCCATGATTAAGGACAGGCTTTCAAATGTTTTCCTTGAGACTGTAGCAAATAGTACATGTTAGAGGATGACATATCATGCTGGTATTGACAGAAATGTCAATACTACTGTATTACCACTAGGCACGTGTGCATGGTGCTCTGTGTGCTCTAACAACTTCAGCCTGCTTCCCTCTCTGGCTGAACAGGAGAGAGGCCCGTTAGTGAGAATATACAGATGTGTATATGTACAGTGTGGATCTCTCCAGCAGCTGGGCTCAGATACTGACTGCCCAGTAGCTGCCTCTGGATCCCAGTGTTCTCAGTTGCTGGCACGTGGAGATACGAGGCATTGGGGCCATGGCCCCACTGCAGTACAGACCATCTCACTCATATATGCAATCTTGCCCACTCCTCGAGTTGGCTAGGACTCCCCAGATTCCCATAGCCCCCTGGCTCTCACCCTTAGAGAGACACTCACACCCAGAGCTGGCCCTTGCAGACCCACTCACCTCTTGCTTCCAGGCTGCTTCCCCTGCTCACCAGCTGGTCCAGCTTGATCTCCGCTGACAATCAGACACTTGCATTGGCTCCAGGTGCTGCAGCATGAACTCCTGGGCCTCTGTGACCAGAGATCCCTCACAAGTGGTTGACAATTCAGTCAATCCAGTCTCTCCAGGTGCTGGCACCCCAAGACACATGGGCCCTTTGACCTGTGGTCGAGTCCATTTGCTGGCACTCAGACCCCCATACACACACCTGCACACTGAATAGAGAGCCTCTCACCTGGGAAAGAGTTAGAGATGGGGTTTAATTACAATCACAGAATAACTGAAGTTGAAAGGGATCTCTGGAGGTCCTCTGGTCCAAACCCCCTGCCCAAGCAGGGCCACCTAGAGCGGGTTGCCCAGGACTATGTCCAGACAGCTTTTCAGTATCCCCAAGAAGGGAGACTTCACCACCTCTGCCAGCTCTGATAGGACAGACTGTGCTGATCAGACACAGGGAATGGCCAAACAAGTGTACTGTTTAAGCAAACTACGTACAACTGGCCCTTTTTATATCCTTATTCCTCTACTTTCCCTACACTTGTTCCTCCCCAAATCACGTAGGCCCATCCATTTTTTGCTAAGCATTCCATAATAAGTCTTTTGCAATCCCAAAATGAATTTATACCCTACATACCGTAGTGTTCCCCACCTTAGTCCAAAAGGTGATCAAGAGAGTTGCTCTGGGTAACACATTGTAATGGGTTTCATGCCTGGGTAACTGAGGTGATGGCATTGCTGGGACAGCCCTGGGAGGGGCCTGGGCAGGGTGTGTTTATTGCTTGCCTGCTCATCCTACTTCTCTGGACTTGTGTGTACCCTACTGGGATGCTCCCAGGACCATCCCAGAAGCCATTGGCCCATCTGTGGCTGATGGAGAGTTTTCTTTGGGCTTCCTGTGCTCCTCTGCAGGTCCTTCTGGGTAGCAGTGTTGGTAGTGCTACGAACAGACATAAGGCAAAAAGAGAGAGCTACCAGCAGCATCTCTAAGGATAGCAGATGGTACAAGATGAATTGAGGAAAAAGACTGTATGATGTTCTAGGAAAAGTTATTCCACTGTATGTTTAGAGATGGGGGAAGGGAGGAGTTAAATGGGTAATGCTTGTTTTAGCTATTAAGCTTCATTATGTTTCTTACTGGAATTTTTTCTATGAAATATGAAGAGCTTTTGCCATTTATTATTTACAGTTTCATCACGTCCTAATACCTCAGTGTTGATATTCTTTACCTCTGAATATAATATTGCAGTATTATTATTTTTTTTTTTTGCACGTCATAAACTTTATTTTTGTAACAGTGATTTATTTTCATTTTTCAGATTATTCAGATTATGAAGATAGTTCTGTTGAATTCTTGGACAGGTGCTCTTCTCCATTAACACGGTCGTCGGGGAGCTCTCTAACTTTGCGCAGCATGTTCTCAGAGAAGAATACATCATACCAGTATCCAAGAGCTATCTTGTCTGTTGACCTTAGTGGAGAAAGTAGGTTGGCTGAACAGTGACTTTCATCTTATAGGTTTAATTCTTTAAGGAAGAAAATTTTAAAGGAAATAATTCGGTTTGTGTTTGGGATGGTAGCTATAAATATGGTGACTGATTTATACTTCATATACTTGAAAACGCTTACACTCCTCAAGCTGTTCTGTGTTGTACTTGCTTTGGTTAAGTGTTGCTACTCTGCTTCTGAGGATATCACATTAGAGGCATTTTGCAGAAATCATCAAGAAATCTAATAAACCAGCAGTGTGTTTGAGAGCAATTTTTTGCTATATGCAGGTTAAGATTTTTAACTGCGAAAAGCCCCTATATTTCTGTGAAATACGGCATCTCTGCATGCACAATTTCACATGTATTTATTTTTACTAGACCTTTCAGATATGGAGTTCTTGGATGATTCCTCTACAGAGAGTTTGTTACTTAGTGGTGATGAATACAACCAGGACTTTGATTCAACTAACTTTGAAGAGTCTCAGGATGAAGATGATGCTATCAATGAAATTGTTAGATGCATTTGTGAACTGGATGAAGAAAATGGCTTTATGATTCAGGTAAAGAAATTGTGGGGGAATATATTTTCCTTGTGAATTTCTTGCTTGTGAAGGTGCCATTTTGATGTGTTGGAGACCAAAGTTATGTAGAGAGCTGCAAAGTCAACAATAACAAAAGATTTTCATATTCTGCGCTTGGTGTGACTGTTTGGCATATGCAGAATGGTTACTGTAGGATGAGGTTCTCTAACAAATCAATATGTAGAACAGGTTTGTAAGGAAATATAACCTTTTTCTTTATATCCAGTTGATAAATTTGGAATAAAGTATCCTTTCCTGCACACAAATCATCACTTCTGTCTGCAGACCATCCCAATTATACCAGCCCTTCTAGTTCAGTCCTCACGCCTTACAGTACCAATTGTAGAAACCACTCTGCTCACTGTAAATGTACCTCAGCTGTATCCAAGATCTCTGCTGTACAGGCATTACTGTTGGCAGAAACTGTGATCTGTGTGTCATGTGTATCCTTCATCTTTAGAATAGCAGTTCTCAAACTAGAATTCACTAGCTGGTTTGGGAAACTGCTAAGGATTAAGAATATACAGTGTCTGCATAGCATTCAGGTGCTGATGGATTGCAACTACTGCTGCTTATTTGTTTGTACTCCAGTGAGGGGACCATTTCCCATCTAGCAATGAGTGTTTTAAACTCTTTGTCTCAAGGAATTAATAATACAGCGATTAGATCAGATGCAAGCAACAGTGAGGAAGAAGTCAGTTGTCAGTAACTTTAAAAAAGCCATGAACTTCCTATGGTGTTTTTCCCCACTCAAAAAACAGGTTTGTATTCAGCTATTAATGTGGTACAGTTTCTGTTGAAAATATGGAGCCTTTTTAGTTGAGATTTGAAGGAAGCAAGTATGGCTGTCCAGCGTTAATGGACTTAAAGTCTTTTGGAAGTGACAGACCTGAAGTTGAAGGACACAACGACTGTCCCTGGGAACACACTGGAATGCAGTGCTGTGTTGGAGGAACTAAGCAGGAGTTCAGCTATGGTAATAAAGTGAAAAAATGGACTGGTATAGAAATCTTTGGAGAGAGGCGAGGGAATTATAGCCATAGCCGTATGACAAGGGGAAAGGTGACTTCAGTGTTTTGAATTGGTTGATGCTCAAAAGCATGTCAAAGCAGAGAGGAGAGACTTTCTGTATCAGAACAGCAGATATTTAGAACACAGGCAAACACTGAGTTGAGAAAGGAAGATGTATTTTTAAGTGGTAGTTTCCTGCCTGTTTCTAAAGTCCAATGACAGCCCAATTTTTCCTCTTCATGCCTTGTCTCACTGAGAGCAACCAGTTTGCTGTTTGTAGGCCCTCATGTCTTACCACTTCTATTTTGCTCTCCTATTCTCTTGTTTCTCCTCTTTCATTTTCTCTTCATTTTCTTTTTCTTTTAGATTTTCCATTGGTGCGATATTAAAAACACATCTTTCTAGCGCACTGGAGAGATGCTTTGTAAATATAAATAATTAAACTGAAGAGTTTTCTACTTTTCACTGTTATGCTGTAATGTATTACATTATCTTTCTACTTTACTGTAATATTATACTCCTGTCTTATGTTTCACTACTAAATATTTAGGTGCTATAATACTGAATGTTATAATCAAATATTATTAAATATTACATCTTCAATTTCTTTTTTTTTTTTTTCCAGTCTGGAATTTGTGGTTGAGGTAACTTTCGGAACTAGAGCTCTTTTTTTAGCTTGATATCTTTGCCTACCCAAACACAAATTGCCCAACTAAAATAATCTTACTGAAACCAGCTATTTAAGTTAAACTGCTGTTCTCTGCATTTTGACGATACAAGAAATAGCTTCTGATTTTTCAATCTCTTTATCTCAGTTTTAGTTTTTGCTTTTGTTTTTTTCCGATGTCAGTGTGAAGAGTGCTTGTGTTGGCAGCACAGTGTATGCATGGGACTGTTAGAAGACAGCATTCCAGAGCAGTACATCTGTTATATCTGCAGAGATCCACCAGGTATGGGTAAACCACCTTTATCTGCAGCTGTCTGCTTGGAATTTTTAAGCAGAGATGTTATGCATTGCTTAAATTATTAAAGCTTTGTCTGTTTTGTGTTCTCTGTTCTTTAGGGCAAGTGATTCTAAATTTAGCTCTGAGCAGAAGCTTACTTTCTTGTTAGTAACATCTTGATCAGCTATGCTAAAACTTATTCATGACCTTAATTACTGTCGCTTTAGTTGTTGAAAATTAATTCCCCCAAAACCTTAGCACTTTTTCATGTTGTAGTCTGAAAAGTCTTTCTAAACAAATTATTCTTAAGCGATCTGTTTTGTCTATACTTGGAATCACATTGGTTCATTTAAATATTTTTTTTAGAGAAAAAGTACTCATTACCACAGTACACTCAAATATACTGTGGATGTTATTTCATATTAATTGCAATTTTGTAATATATGTATTTGTCCAGAATTGGGTAAAGGTATGGAACTGAGTATGTAAAATATGAAAAATTCTGGAACTTTTTATGGTAAACAATAGTGCACAAATAACATACTTTGAACTTTAGATTGTTAAGATAAGTTTGAAATTGTGCAAATTAGGAAAAGTCTTATTTCTTTTTCAACTGAATACATTTGATTAGGGAGATACTGATTTTAAAATTATTCTGTCCATAAACCTATTTTTCTTACCAGTTATTTGTAGAAAAACTATACCATTTCAAATGAAGTTTTTAGTATTTTTCCTGACAATTGATACAAACGCACATAGATGTCTTCTAGTGAAATATCCAACAGTCCAGCGGTTTCAAAAGGGGGAATGAGTTTACACACCCAAATTTGCTTCCATTCTGAATTTAAAAAATGAAATCTGAAAACTGTTTGCAGAGGTATAAAATGGCACAGTTTCTATTAGTTACTTTTGAGAAGAAAATTTAGGAAAATAGAGCTAGAAAGTAGTGGCTTTTTCCATTTGCCCAGTCTGAATCTAAATTGATGGTATATAGAGTCTTGTTTGATAGTTCTATGTGGTGTACTCTTTGAGCAGTCAAGCTTTTTCTTTTTAAAACCAACTAATTTGTCTTGTGTTCTTTTCCTGCACTGTACTAGGTACTTCGTTATCCCCTGCTATAAAGAGACTGTGTCCCTAATTTTTATCTTCTCTCCCTTCCTAACCATTACTTCTTTTCTTTCTATGTCAGGAGAAAAAGGTCATTCACAATGTCAGTATTTTAAAGTGTATTGGGATAATGGGCAGAAAGGAGATAGACAGGGTATTCTCCTGAAAGGTATGAAGGGCTTCCATCAACCCATTCTTTGTTCTGTATATGATGATAGTCTGATATGAAATCGGGTGTAAGATATTGCAGTCTTAGTCAGTCTGTTTTGTCTGGGTTCCTCATTGTAAACAGTAATATTGGAATAACTAGCATTATACATTTCTAGTTTGGGGTTTTTTTTGTTGTCTTGGTTTGGTTTGGTTTTTTTTGAAAAGTTACTATTGAAGCATTAGCTCAATACTCATTCATGCCTGATGGGTTAAGATTGTAGATGTTGCCGTAGTGTGGGAGACCTAAGGCCCTCTTTACATTAATAACCTGTCTAGTAGTGTCTGGTAAAAGGCACCTCAAAGGAGAGTGTAAGAACTCCACTGTCAAATATCTTTGAAATGTCTGCTTGTCATTAACCCTTCTCCTGGCTTCTAATAAGTAGATACTGACTTCAATATTGAAGCAAAATACTTGTCTTTTAGAAACAAACTACGTGTTTTGGATATGTCCATATAAAATCCACTCTCTAACATTTCTCTTGGTAACTTAGGTTTTCTTTTTTTTTTAAAAAAGTAAGCTGTAGTTGTTAGATAAAATGCCAATTTTAACATTTTCTTCAGTGAGATTGACAATAGTACAGTTCTTAAGATCCTCTACTTTGATTGCAAAGGTGATTAGATTTTCATTTCAAATGCCATTTAGAGAGGTTTTGAGATTTCAGGTTTATTTCTGCTTTTGTAAGTGTCAAGAGTTTCCTCTTAATCCATGAAAACTAAATTTTAATGTATTAATAGCAAGTTTTTGAATCATTCTTTCATGGATATTAAGACACATTTAGGAGAGTACAGCATATAATTATAGCGCTCTAGTTTAAAATACAATTCTGATGTGGCTTTAGATGGCCCTCAATTTGTTTCTTATTTACCCCAGGTCAGAGGTGGAGTGCCAAATATCTTTATGATAAAGACTGGCTAAACAGTGGACACATGTGTGGATTATCATTTTTGAAAGAAAACTACTCTCATCTTAATGCCAAAAAGATTGTGTCAACCCATCACCTGCTGGCAGATGTCTATGGTGTAACTGAAATATTGCACGGACTACAGCTGAAGATTGGGATCTTAAAGTAAGTATCAGTCCAGGATTGATTCTCCATCTTTATATATTTAGGTAGCAGAGACTACCACTATTCCATATGCATTATTCTCTCACATTAAAGTTCTTCCTTCTATAATAGTTTAAATATTTGAAGTGCAAGATGTAGAGTACCCTCAGCTTCAGTGGGAGTTAGGTATTCAGCACCTGAGCGGATCTGGTATATTGGGATTATTGTTGATTTTTTATTTTGTTGTTATAGTCAGTTTTGTGTTAAAGGGACGTTCTGGGTTTATCTTAAACTGATAAGTGACCTGAGGATACTTAGATGTTTGATACTGGTGCTTATCAATAGCTGTGATCTAACAGAAGTGGATGATTAATAGTTCAGTGCTGTAAGTGGTATTCTCTATAACTTTTTTTTCTCCCCCTTCATTTCAGAAATAAGCAGCACCCAGACCTTCATCTCTGGGCTTATTCAGGGATGCGAAAAGAACAAGAACAAATAACTCTTGGGGTAGAGAAAAAATTAGTGACTTTACCAGATTCTGTTAATCCAACCGAAAGGACATGTCACAGTCAAAATCATAAAGAGCAGCCCAGTATACCCCAGAAGACGGAGGGAACATACATCACAAGTGAGCACAGTTACCAAAAACCACAGAGTTTTGGACAAGACTGCAAAGCAGTCACTGACCCTATGAGCTCAGATGATGAAGATACAAGTAGTTATGATGAAGATCAGGAATTTCACACAGAGACTAAAAACTGTTTACAATATTCTTTTAGAGATGATGGCATGAATGAGCGGGTAAGTATCATTCTTCATCTGGGAAGTTTCTTAGTTGGAATAATATGTTCAATCTGATAGAATTGAAGCGCATACAAGTATGTAGAAATGTTCATTGTTAGTGGTTGACATATTCTAGTGAGTCAGCAGAAATCACTAGAAGCAAAGTTGGATCACTGAAATAGTTTCAGGTGAGGTATACCCATTTCAGCTGGTGAATGAAATGCAAAGTATGGTTAAATATTGCCTATGGTAAAGCTGTTTATGCTTAATCCAGTGTTTTGGGGGAAAAAAAATCCCATGCTTAAAATGCAAGGTCTTGAAACAGAATTTAGGTGTTTTTTGCGGGATGAAGAAAATGGGACAAGTTTCCTTTTTTCTCCCAGTTCTGTTTTTTTATTGTTGTTGTTTGTTAAACTGAGATTTGTAATAGTGTTTATAATTGTATCATATTCTTTTAATAGTAACACTATCTAGAATTCTGTCCACCAGTAATGATTTACTGACCAATTAATTTCACCTCATACAACTTCTTTTGCATTTCTTATATGACATATTTATTCTAATTAAACGTGTCACATGTTTTTAGTAAGGATTATATTTGGATGTTTAAACATCTCTTTCTCATGTTTGCATTATTGGTTTGAATCCATTACTTTGTGGAAAAGGTCTGAAACTTGTTAGTCTGGTTTCAGTGAAGAGTTTTCTTTTGAGCAAAAAAAACAAAGTGAAACAGACCTTTCTGTTTTCTACAATACCAAGTGTGTGAGAATAAAATCACCCAACTCATCCCCCTTTTGAGGTACAGTTTCTGGTGTGGAATAAATGAGTAAGATACATCTTTTTTCTTTTAGTTTTAAATGTGGCATGTAAGCTATATAGTCTGAATGGGAAATTTTGGCTAATTCTAGTTAGAAATAACCGTATGCTAAATCGCATGATTATATTCAGTTTATGTAGTGAGCAGTAGTGTGAAATAGTGAATAATCCTTCCAACAGTAGGTTAAATTATCTTTGTAAATAGTATAAATACATCCAGAACTAAAAGAAGATATATGGGAACAGTGAAACAAAAGTAATGTTTCCTTCAGAGACTAAAGCATATATCTAAAAAGCTAAGTACTCTCTGTTTTAAGCCAGGAAGACATCTGGGGCAGTGTCAGAGTACTCTTCCCTTTGGGACGTGTTAGTTCACCTGTTGTCAGTAGTCAGCCATGATATCTGAAATAAGGCTATCTATCTATCTAGACTTAATACTCATTGAAAAGCTCTCCCTGGTTTCTCCATGAACCTGTTTGTACTTGCCTTAAAACCATGATGACACACGATGAAGTGCCTTTTTTACATGAACTGACTTCTCTGTAAAGTGTTGTCTTCACCTCTCCTTCTCAAAGTTTTGGTTGGGGGTTTGGATTCTCTCTTCTAGCATTTTGCAGAGCCTTCAGTATTCTGGTTTTCCATATGGTTTTGTCTTCTCCTCATCTACAGTTCTGTTGCATGCCTTCTTTTCTCTTATAAACAGTGTTCAGGTTGAGTATTATGAAGTTCCTTATTCGCTTATGAATAATCTTTAAAATTGTATTTAGTTTCCTTATTCTTGCTTCGGAAAGCACAAGCCTTCCCCATCTGAACCTCCCATTTATTTCTTCTTCACAAGCTGGATGGTGTACTCTGCTTCTCTTACTACCCCGGCCACCACTCCCTGATTGCCTACATTGATCTCAGCTTAGAGGAGGACCTGTTTGATCTTGTGGTTGTTTTTGTTTTGTGGGTTTTTTTTTGTGTGTGGTGGGGTTTTTTTTTTTTTGCTTTTTTTTTGTTTGTTTTTTTTTTTTCTTTTTTTTTGTTGTTGTTGTTTGGTTGGTTTTTTTTTTTTGTTTGGTTGGTTGGTTTTCTTGTGTGGTTTTTTTTTTTTTTTTTTTGTTTCCCCAAGGAGCATTTACTAGCCTTTTGAATAAATACAGAGGTCGTTAAAAAGGGAAAAAATATTTTGTGATGTTCTTTAGATCTTAAATTATTTAGCTTTAAGATTTTATCTAACTTACTGCAGTGGCCATCTAAAGATTCACTTAACGGATGATCTTGGTTTTGGAATTACAGACTTGGGTCCTCATACAGCAAGAGAAAAATGGCACTCCTCATGATTTTAGAGAGGGTCTGAAAATTGTAAGAAGTGGGACATTTCTTATTTACATTGGAAGTATCCTTTATAAAATTAATAACAGTTTGAATAGTGAAAACACTGTGGAGGCAAACTTGATGTCTTGAGAGAAGAAAGATTTTTATCTGAAAGGTTTGAGACTTCTAGAGGCTTTTTTGGCTTTTAAACTCTATATTTAGTAAATAACTTTTAACTTCTTTAATGAATATTGTGACAATATTGTGCTCCAGGACCCTCTCATAAAGCTGCCAGCAGGTCAGTCCAAGTTTGATTTGTTTGGTCTTGTTTTTTTGGTGGGGTTTTTGTTTTTTGTTTTTTAGGTGTTTTGTTTTGTTTTGTTTTGTTTTTTTTAAATTGATTTTAAGTCTTAAAAATTAAGTTGTTATTTTGGTTTAAGTAGTAACTTAAAATCCATCAGTCCCTGTCATCTTCTTTCACTCTCTTCTCACTCTTCCCATTCTTGACTGGGGGAAGATATACTTTAAGAAAAAAAATTGTGTTGTCTATTATTGTGTGATGTAGAAAAAACTTAGCTGCAAAGTGTATTAGTATAATAAAATTCACACCTTGGTCTGGCATTTGCCATAAACTGACATTTCATGAGCACACATATCCAACATTCTACTCCCTAAAATAGAACCATCAATAGTGAAAGAACTTTATCAGATTTAAAGTTATAGTGGATATAAAATGGAAACTGTGAATCCTGCTAATTAATGGAGATGCTGAACATTTTAACCCATTAAATCTGGTATACTTCATTTGGTCATTTCCATTAGCTGCAATGTCAAGTACAGAAAGATGAGGAACTTGTGTGTAATCTCTGACTTGCTATGAAAATACTGATTATTTCAGAGAAGGCAATCTTCAGATACTGTGTTTGCATAACTCTGCATGTTACTGCCCTTGTAACTATCCCCAGACATGTTCAATTCTGTTCCAGACTTGTGCTTCCAAGTTACACAGAACCATAGTAATGGTAGGAAGAGCAGTCTTTTGTCTTAACAAACAGAATGGCCAGCTTGTTTGTGCAAGAGTGACTTTAGACACCTTGGATATTCCTGCATTTTAGGGAGCTTTCCTTTATTCTCTGGCTAAAATTGAAACAAACCTTAGGGGTTTTCACAGTTTTGGTGACAGCAGACCAATGCACTTCAGGACTTTATGATTTAAGTCCAGATTTATATAAAAAGGGCACAGAAATGCAGTCTGTCTTACTGCATTAAAGAAAGTGCTTGAGCTGGTAAACTTTACCTCTTGCCTCGCTTTCCCAGTGCTATATATGCTTATTTGTATGGAATTTGCATTTTGTTTGGTTTAATCTATTGATGTGTATTTATTGTATTGATATTATATATATATTGATGTATGTGACCTTTTGAGTATGTTTTTTTTCACATAGACAGAAGTACAATTCTAAAACAGCATAGTTTATCATGTCACTCAGGTGTTGAAATCAGTACCAGAAATGAAAAGAAAAAAAAAAAAACTCTTAAATGGCAATTTTTTTCTTTCTGTTGCTCCTATGAAGAAGAATTCTGCTGAAGGAAACACTGTGTTTGTTTGTAATGAAAGAAAAGGCTCAGAGGAACAAGTGGACACACATCTTCAATGGCAGCTAAATCTCCTTACCCATATAGAGAATGTACAGAATGAAGTCACCAGCAGGATGGACCTGATTGAAAAAGAAGTTGATGGTAACTACATTGCCAGATACTTGTTAATACACCTGTAACATCATCTTTCATAGCCACTCTGTTGAAAGTGATCTGAGGCACCTAGGATGGATTTTATGTGTCGTGTTCAAATTTGGGTACCCAAAATGATAATTGAGCTTGTACTCTTGATCCCCCTGCCCCTTTCCATAAGTTTTGTATGCCCAATAAAGTAATTAAAGCACTCAGGACCTCTGAAAAAATTAGCTCAAGTTTGTGATATTAGGCAGGCTTTGGAAAGCTTATATAACTTGTCTAGTCTTTTTCCAGATATGGATCATAAAGTTGATGGATTTTTTTATTATGTCTGGAGTGGTTTTGGCCTGATTTTTCTAGTAATTGACAACATTTAGGGAAAAAAAAAATAGTATTCATTCTGCCTTTAAATTTGGTTTGCTATATATTAGTAACTGGTTTGAGGAAGGCAAATAAGGCTTCATGAGAAAGCTTGAGTGAAATTATAGTGTAGGAGTTAATATTACAACACAGAAGTTAACTTGCCAGTCGTAGAAATTAAGAATGAGAGGAGCTTATAGTCTAGTCTTGGGAGTCTTTAATTATCTTTTGACAAATAAAGTTGTCGTATTCCTATTTGCATTTTTACTTTCAGTATTTCTCCTTGAACTAGGCATTATAGCTAGGCTAACAGGATTGACCTTTTCCCTTTTCTGTCTCTACAAGCACAGAAGTTATTTGTAAACATTTGAAGATTGGAAAATCATTCTTTGATCTGGACTTTGTAAACAGGAGCCTGTTAAAGTGACAGAAGCAAGCCTTGCATTTAAGAATTGTGTTTTCTGTTGCAGAACTATCATAGCTAAAAGATCATGAACTGAGGTTTCTTTTATGTGTGTAGATGGTAAATTGTTAGCCAAGGATATAATTTGCTCCTAGGTACCTGTCTGTAGTAGCAATCAAACCAGATGATGTTTGGATTTTTTGAGTGAAACACGGAATTAGTTGGTGTTTCCCTAGTAAAAATTTCTTCTGATAAGTAAAAATCGCAACCTCAGTATAGTTTCCCTTCTTATAAAAGACAGAGTAAGAAAGAAAAGTTTAATTTTTATGAAAACTGTTTCTTGAAGATATATTCTAATAAACTTCTTCCTTTTCATTCTGTAGTTTTAGAAAGCTGGCTTGATTTCACTGGAGAACTGGAACCACCAGATCCTCTGGCAAGATTGCCTCAGCTCAAGCGACGTATCAAACAGCTCTTAATTGACATGGGGAAAGTACAGCAAATAGCAACACTTTGTTCTGTATGACAAAAGGAAGAATAAAGAAATAAAAATAGGTTCTCTTACAGTGAATTTTCTTACTAGCCACAAGACTGACAGGAAGACAGCAAAAAGCTGAGCATTTATCTGGTTCTTTGCTGATTACATTAGCCTGAAGCTTTAGAGAGAGGAGAGGAAATTTAGAGTAAAGTATCTGTTATATTGGAAATCTGAATATTCAGTGTCCAAGCTTCAAAATGTAATATATTGCATACTGAGAAATGTTGATATGATTTTAACATGATAAACAAGAAAATCCCTGCATACAAGAAAGTTGAACAAAAACTCTGCAAAGAACAAGGTTACTGTTTTGAAAATTTTGGCAAAAAATTCTAAATTCACAGAATTCAGCTGACTAAACATTCTTGGGAACTGCTTTTTTAATGAATTCCTCTTATCTTGCTAGCAAAAGTTAGACACAGAGAGATCTGTATCCTCTCTACAAGGAAAGTCTTTAGATTATTTCCTTCTCTCATGAATGTTCAGGAAAATGAACATAATAGCTTTGATTTTTTGAAAGAAATTACTTATTATGGTCTCCTTTTTAAAATATTTTTTTAAATAGAAATCCTTATTACAGCACCCTTAGGCTTCCTTTAAAACATAAGTGGCAAATGGTGGTCAGATGTGCCAAATAATATTAAAACCACTGGGATGAGAGTTTGATTATGACTTACATGAAGGTTTTTTCCAAAGTCCTACTTGGTGCCAGCAATCCATCCAAAATTGTGTAGTTTATATTTTTTTATGTTCTATTGCAGTATTCAGGATTCAAGGTACAATTTTTGTCCTGGGTAGCTCTGTTCTGGTGTTGGCCCTCTGAAACTTTACCATCCTCAGCTGGGATGAGGAATGACAAGAGCAGCAACACTGTGGCTGTGAATATACTAAACCACTAGAATAAATATCTCAAGATACGTTATCCAAGATGTTTTTATAAAAACTTTCTGCTTCAGTGAACAAAATGTCATGAAACCAAAGGCAACCTACTTGCTCTGTTAGCTCTTGCTGGATTTTGAGCCCAGGACTTTCCCTGTGCTTATAAGTTGCCGCTGTATCCAGTGCTACATGCATATTTGTATGTGTATGTATATGTGTATAGATACACATGTACATATATACATACTATATACATTTATATCTACACATGTCTAGTTTTATTACAATAGACTATAAGAACTGGTGGTTAACATGAAATGTTACCTTTTAACAAGCAGTTTCTAAAATTGAAAATAATGTATGTACAGGTTTTGAAATTTGTAAAATATGACTGTTAAAAGGAGGCTATTTAACTGATGACATTAAGATACTTGAACATTTTATGCCTCACGTCTGTTTATCAGTTCTAGTTATCTGTATAAATGCATTTTAGAACCGATAGACAGTAAACTTGAATTTACCTTTTGATAAGAGTACAAGCCACTGTACATTCAAAAATTATTTAAATTTGCAAACACACTGTTCTATATGTAAGGTACTGTATGTAAAACTGTTTATTAAAACTATTCTGCATACTCTACATTTTTCATTTTTCTTCCTGATCTTCATACAAGTATAAAAAAGCGATTCTTATAATGTTCAGACTATCAAAAATCAAAAAATCTTGGAATGCCTTTTGAGGATGCATAAAATTGAAAAATGTGCCAAAGATGGATTATCTGGGAAAGACTTTGCAACCAGTGCATTGAACTTTCGTGGTAAAACCATTATTGAGAAAGAAAGCAGCATGGCTGGTTCATTGCTAAAATAAACTTACCCTGACATTTCCCGTCTGTCTATCATATCTGAAGTGAGTTATCACTCTTGATGTCCAAAGCGAAATGTAAACCCTTGTTACAGGGTGGTTGCTATTTAAAAAGTCTTGCCACATCAAGCTTGTAGGAGATGTTACAGAGCTGCATGGTAACATGAAAGTTAATTATGGAATCATGATTGGCAACTTCATAATGCAGAAAGAACACACAAGCTGAGGAGTTGTTGACATTTTTATAGCAACTGATAATAAATAAAATACTCTGTGTTATATAGTTGGATGCTTAAATAACTGCTTCAAACAATATGAATAGTTGAGTGACCTACTTGCTTTTGGATATGTGAGACTTTTTTATGTATTATTCACTTGCTGCATATCCTTGAATGTGGTACTGTGTGTACTGTATAAGAGAAGTGTAAATCCAAATTAATTACTTTGAAACAAAGTGGAGTGTATTTACATAATTTATACAGCACACACTGTAGCAATATTATGCAATGTGCGTGCATGCGTGTGATGTAATATAATTGTAAATGTTACTGAAGGCGGAGGTGGACCGAGAGATTCTAGGTGGAAGGGTGGAGGTTTCATTCTTAGTGCAGAGATGGAGGAATGGTATCCTGAAAAGGAAATCTTAAGTTCAAAGTTAAAGTTGCCCTTGCAGCTTTAAGTTGTCTTCTGTTTGTATATGTAAAGGTCTCTAAATTTACATGAGTATGTAATTTTATCCCTCAGGATCCTGCCTTATTCAGCATCGACTGTGCTTACAAAAACAAATAATCTGTTCAGTATTTTTTTATCTTCATCTCTTGTGTAGTCATGTATTATAAAAATTCCTGCAAGCATTCATATCTTTTAAGAAATACAATCTCAGTGTCCTTATGGACAGCGCTGTGATACTTTGTGTGTTGCTTGAATGCTTCACAAACTTGTCTGAATTTGCTTTCTCAAATTGTGACGTTAGTATGTAGCGTGAGCCTTAGTTTTGGCCCCAGTTTCTTAAGTATTCAAAGGTTTGGGATGCTTTTGAAGTTTTTTCTTTAAACACTTACAAGTCAAGTGCCGTAAAAATGCTAAGTGTTTTGCACAGAATGTAACCTACAGTGGATTGCTCGTGTGCCAGTCAAACCTGATGTGATCTGGCTCATACCAGTATTTCTTCTAGTTGGCCTTATCGAGAGGATCTTTTTCCTGTAGGCATCATTTTCCATCTGTCTTCCTGCTTCCTTTGTAAATAAGCCAGGGATCTGTACACAGTCTATTTGCAACATCATTTATCAGGGTGTGAATTTGTGCTGTATGATGAAAGAGGCAAACCCTCTCTGTGGAAGAAATAGTATATGGTAAAATTTTTAAATTTGCAGCCTTCTTTTAACTTAGTGTAAGTTCTTAATGCTAATATACAAAAGGAAAATGTCATTGTACAGAAGCCTCTTGTGATTTCACAGGGCTAAATGTCAAACTTGTGGAGCCTTTAAATGCCCAGCTTCTTCTCTGAGGCTTGTTTTGTTCATGGAGGTATCAGGGTGATTCATTTCAAAGCCTCCTCCTTTCTGTGACCATACTCTAGGCATCTACATCGGGAATTCTGCATTTTCAGTTGCAGTGATGGCAGTAGGACATCAGTACTGCAGTCATAAATGAAATGTTGCCTTAGTGATGTGATCAGATATCACATGTTGAGGTTGCCTATGTTTCAGTTGCAAAATGGAGGTACTTCAAGTCATATGGCAGGGAATGAGTTGGAAGATGCTTCCTGCTAACCATTTTCTTGGGTATCTGTAGGCTGAACAGTGCCCATATTGCAGATATTCTGGCCTTAGATGCATAGATCTTTGTTCGGCTAATTTGCAGTGGTAGAAGCCTGTCTTCCTCTTTAAAATAGGTGAAGAAGATGGGTTGCAATTTTCTGATAGATATAACATACTTGCTGTGTGGCAAAAAATTGAAACTACTCTTCCATGGCTGCAGTCCTCTTGTATGGCTGACATCCACCTGTCTCTTAGTTTTGTCTCTGAGCTTCTACATGTGCTCCTCATCTGTTTGTTCTGCAGCTTGCATCTGTTTCTTCTTTTGTTTTTCTGCTTTCTACACTGGCTTCTCCTCTGATGCCTGGAGGGTTTCATTCCTCTGTTCTTATGCCCAGTTCTTTCTGGCTGCTGTGGGAAGCAGTCGTGGGGACAGGTCTCCTCTGCTCTGTCCTGATTCCAGTGTGACCTGTGAGCTGTGTACGGTTGGAGTGTGTGCACCATGGTAAAAATTTTCAGATGTTTTTGCTGCCTTCCTTTAGTAAAGCTTTTCTGATGTTGCGCAGGTGGTGATCCTCTGCTCCCATCTGGCTTCTAACTTAAGACTTGAATGAATGTTGCAGCAAAACCCCTTTGCCACAGTTGGGCTCCAGCACTTCTCACCAAACTGAAGGCTGGGATGTAAAGGAGCTGCTTGAGCATCACCGTAAAATTGTAAAAGTATTTTGATGCTTGCAAACCAGAATATTTTTCCTTTGTATATGAAGAGAAATAGCAACTATTTTTATTCACTGAAACTTTTAAAGACTCAAAACAGATCCTAAACTGAACTGAAGCTTAATGTAAAAATAAGCAACAGAAGTAGGGGGTGGGAAGCACTCTGCAAACAGGGGCTTCATAGCAAGAAGTGTGCAATCAGGCCATCTTGACTACCTTGTACTGTTCAAAGTTATAGTGGAGTGCTGATGTGTAAAGGGGGTGCATGCAATGATGCCATTCCTTTACAAATGGCACCCATCTTTGTTGTGCTGGTTTAGAACACTGGAACTGTAGGTTCTCTCTCTACTGCTTAGAAGCATTACAGTACATGCACCTTAATTTTGGAGTGCTTATTAAGGTCAGCGGCTTAATCACTTTCGAAATGCCCATTGCTATTCTCACATTTTATTAGCTGACACTTTTTTTCTGTTGTACTGAGTCCATGTGGCTTTAGGTGATAATTTTACAGAGGACGTTTGAAAATACTTCAGTAATGGTTTTTATTATACTATGTTATGTCCTGGGCACTGGGTGTGGGGGTCTGTCTTTAGCAATAAGTATTATACACTATGTGTATATCTGTTTATATATAGAAAACAAATATGGAGCATGTAATGATGGTGAAAATACACTGCACAGAGAGCAGATTGTGCATTTGGCAGCCATTCTGCTCCAGCCTGAATAACTCAAATAAAAAATTGGAGACCACATGGAAAGAATGAACTAGCGTGAAAAATCATTCAGGAGTGAATTTCCTTTTCCATACACGCTGGACCTATGTGTAAGCGGTCGATGAGCCAGCCTTATTCTATGGATTGAATAACTAAAGCTAGTTCAATTGCTGTTCACTTCGAACAGCAGCCTTCCTTTCTTTAAAGCTGGCCAGAGTCACCTCAGTTCGGCTGTAGCCACGTGTGTCAGTGTATTGTCACTAAACACTCTGAGAGAGGCAGCAGTGCACTATATAAATCTTCTGTGAGAGAAGCAAAATACTTTCTTCTGTGATTTGTTTTTTTATAATAGCAATAATGTTGACTGCATTCTAATACTCACAATAAAGGTCTGTTGAGATTACGTGCCTGGGCTCCCATTCAGTGGCCTTTTGTTTTGGTGAGTTAGTGTTTATATATGTTTTAAAGCATTAGGGAATCTTCAGCTGCATTTTTAGCCTGTAGTCAGTGTTACATGCAGTCATTGATACCTATTTATCTGTACACATTGCAAAGCTTTAAGGTATCTTCAGTTGTACTTTAGTCTGTAGGCAAATTATGCAGTCAGTAAATTATTTACAGTACTGTATTACTTATTGTGGCAAAGTAATTAGAAGATTCTTCTGTTCCTGAACTGCCTTGGTGTTTAACAATTGCAGTGTTTGAGTTTTGCAATGCACTTGGTACTTAAAAGACAGTATATTTCAACAACATGTTTACAGTGATGGCAACTCTTCTTTGGGCAGATGTCTGCCTTCTAAGGGTGTTTCTAATTTTGTGCCTTTGTACAACATCCTTACAAAATAACTTCAGTTTCCTTGTAGTGATTTATTTTAATATTGCCTACAAGCTGTTGTTCAGGACTACTGTAGTAGAAAACAAATAAGCAAACAGTTGCTAAGAAAGTTCTAGACATCTTGTGGACCAGGACATAAATGATAAGTAGCAGATGAATGAAACTGACCAGAATCTCAGTGAGTTACTAATACAGAGAAATGGTTCTGTTTTTCACAGCAGAAATAGATATGATCGTAAACGTAACAAATTTCAGAATTGTACTTGTGAAGCATGTTTTAATCATTATTTGAAGAGACGGTCTCAAAGCAGTCTCAAATTTAAGATACAGGACCAAATTCAGATCTTGGAGTAATCCACTGAAAGACTTTTTCTACTTAGCAGACTCATTAAAGAGTTTTCCTGAGTCAGACCAAACATCTAGCCAGCCCAGTGTCTTCAGTAGAAATAGTGTCAGCATCTGTACAAAAGGTCTGTACAAATCGGTCTTTCCCTTAATGTATCTTTCACTTCTGGTAAACTGAAGTTTCCTTTAGCATATCTTTATGAAGACCATCAGTTCTATCAATCACCTACAGATCTGTGCTCCATGAGTTTAATCCGTCTTTTTTTCATGAATGTCTCTCCACAATATCAGGTGGCATTCCGAGTTCCACAGCTTTGTTGTGGGTTAGAAGGAGTTGTGTTTGTCCTTGAGCTTGCTTTCTGACTCCATTGGCTGCACACTGCTGCCTTCAGTTCAGCGAAGGTTAAGTATTGCCTTATTGACAAGACCAAAAGTAGTTTTATCTACCAGCACCAGAAGTTTGGCACCCTGTTGCTGTCCTTGTGTGACTGGTGGTGCCTTTTCTCACTACATTAGCTTGCTTTTGACAAACATTGAATCAATTTGGTGCACAAATCTATCCATCACGGCACTGCGGGTTGCAGACCTGATTGCGACTTGGGGTTTCAGAGCAATCTGCATCCCAGATGTCATGAGAATCAAATAAATATTTTTCTACCTTGCTTCACTGTGGTACTATTAGAGGAAAACTGTGTTATCTCCAATGGATAAGTATGAAAAAAAGCCATTTTGCCTGTCCTAGAAATGGTTCATTTCTGCAGGGACAAAGGCAAAGTAAAATGTTCTTATATGGGCTTCTTGATGTTCTTTTGACATCAAAGGCACTTTTCCAGCCAGTAAACTATAATACAAAAAACTAAGAAGCTCTCTGCCCACTTTTCTAATCCAGCCAAATTTAGTGTAGAAGTTATTGGAACTTCCCCATGATTCTTTCACTATGAAGAATGTGTCAGGCATGAAGTGACTGAAACTTATATTAGATAGTGGGGCTATGCTTTTTTCCTTGTCATCATTTAATGTTGCATCACATGAGGACTTTTTAAAACTTAGAGATGATAGAGATAAGTGCTTCACAAGGTCTTGCTATTGCTATCTGTGCCAAAATCATGTGAAGATTGAGACAAATGTCTCATGTTTGGGAAGAAATGTACCAAATGTAAAACAGTTCTCTTCTATCTGTAAGTGTAATAGGTTACTGACAAATGATGTTATTCTGTGTTTTTACATAGTTTTCTTAAAATGTGTAAGAGGATTGTCCAATATTGGTGACTTATTTAACACAGAAAAGCAGTTTATTATTTAAAAATATATTAACTAATTGATATGGACGTAATTTGACAATGGTTCTTCAGATTTTTGCTTCTAATTTGCTGCTTCATTCAGGAGGCTTAAGTTAACTTTATAAACTAAGGTTGATTTCTCAGGCTCAAGTTTTATTTGGGCGAGAGCAACTTTTCTGTGGGTATAGATGTTTATGTATTCATATACAGGAATCATTTACCCTTGGGCTTTCCAATATGTAAAAATTGCAGTTGCACAAACTGTCTTTTCTGCTAAGAAAGTGTATGCAAAAACTGGAACAATGAATAAATGGTCTGCTTCTCCCTTGAGGTTTGTGATTTCAATGTTTCATCACGCTGACATTTTTCTTTCCCCCAACAATTATAATCTAGATTGTACACACTGGCAAAAAGTTACTCAACAAATGAAACCCTCATTTCCAGCACTAGAGCAATGATTTTTAAGACACGTTAGTTTTAAGGCCATACTGGTCACAGGGACCTTTTCCACTTACTCCTTTTCTCTCCTTCATTGGTAAGCTAATTTAATATATTCTTCCATCTTTCCTCAGGTGCTAAAAATGGAGGTCAATTCAATTGTCCCTTCACTAAAGGTTATGCAGTGAAGCTTTTCTTAATTTGAACTTGACCAGCCCCTAGACGAGTGCCTTTTTTTCCCCCCCGATGAATGTGGGTATTGCTCTGTAAACTACTATTTTTTCTTTTCTGTTTTATCCACAGGCTATTGCATCCCATTGAACTGGCATGTACTGAGATGCCCATCTTGGTTTGACGCACATCTAGAAGTGGTTTAAGTAGTGGTAATTGCCAAAGCTCATTTTCTCACTTTGTTTTTTAAGAGACTTTGACGACTTGGTTGTTATTCCCAACTTGCATAGTGCAGAGGTTGTTTTTGGAGTATTTCTGAAGGTAGTAAAAGTAACCTTGGGAATTAACACTATGTAGATATTGCAGATTTGTGCTTGTTTCCCTTAGTAACAGCCTTGTGATACCTCTCTGGTTTCCTGTCTGCCTTACGCTGTTATCAGTTACTAATGACCTTTGGTAGCAAAGAATAGAGGAGGACAGTGAATAGGTACCTTAATGACCTTGCTTCTCTCCCCATTTGCTGTACAAGGAACCTGAATGACACTTGTTTACTAAATTCAGAAAACTGGACTTAGATCAGTGTCACCCACACACCCCCGACACACACTCTGAGTATGTGTATCAGTGGCTTGGAAACATCGTTGTACCTGTAAGCGCTGACCCTGCTGCTCCTGAAGAGCCCACAGCTTGGGGGTGGACTATCTCTTGTTGCTCTCCTGTAACTGTCCCACCTCGCTGGGGATCAGACACAAACATGAGGCTCTTGAAGCATACTTGAGTCAGAAATATGTGTCATGGTCAAACTTCATCTTTCCCGATTCAGCTACCCTAGTGCTAATGTTGACTATTCTCTGGTTGAATTCCTTTGCTTTGCAGGTACATTTCCCTACAAATGCTATGCAAATCCAAAAATTAATTTTCTTTCTGTGCCTGCTTAATTGGGGCTGTTACAGGTTTTTTCTTTATGCCTCTGAAGGTTGCCTTTTTTGGTCTGTCATCTGTGCTGAACACGTTCTTCATCATTTCCCAGTCTGATCTTTCTGCAAACTATTGACTTTCCCAAAGTGCAGAGCAGGTTGCTTGAAAGTATAATCCAAATACAGTCCCACTGATTTTAAAAAGGCTAGTCACTCTAAAGCAAGATTGTGCTGCTGTTTGAGATCACATTTACCATATATATCAAACAGTGTAACGCTGCAGTGCTCTACAGCCCACACAGAAGGATGCTTGGTTCACTGTTTAGCACAATCTTGGTCTGTAAGAGAGTATTAGTAGAGTTGTTTCTAGACTGTCTACTACCCATGAATCACAAAAGAGTGCTTCTGTCACTTTTTCTTGAAATCAGCCTAAGTCCAGGCTCAAACATGTGCTTCTGTTATTATTTAGCTAATTATTCTGAGCCACTTTGTCCAACCACCTTTGCACAAGTAAGGGTGAGTTCTCTTAATTCCCAGTGCGGGTAAATGCTAACAATTGTAAAATGTGGACAAGTAAGAAGTGATACTCTGGAACCAAGGAAATAATATTTCTGATATGTTTTAGGTTGAGGATCTTGCGTGTATCATAGAATCATAGAATGGTTTGGATTGGAAGGGACCTTAAAGGTCATCTACTACCACCACCCCCATCCCCACCCGCCATGGGCAGGGACACCTTCCATGAGATCAGGTTGCTCAAAGCCTCATCCAAACTGGCTTTGAAATGTAATTAGTACCAAAAATATTGACTCAACATGCTTAATGGTTATACTGATCTTGGACCTGGAAGATAAAGCCCAAGAAGCTAAGCTGCTTCCCATCAGATCCTTGGCTGTAATAAAATGCATGGTGCAAGTGGGAGTAAAAGCAAAAGGTCAAATGCTGTTGACTCTGAACCTCAGTTCCCTTCATAGGGAGTGGATCTGTGTCCATCCTGGTTTTCACTTAAGAAGAAAACATATTATGAATTGTATTTACTCCTAGTGCTGCAACACTTGGTGGCCTAACTCTTGCCTGTCCCCTCAGCAGTCTAGGCTCTCTAGAAACACAAAAAAGTGTACTTCTGATACAGAACACAAAGTCTGGTTGCTCCAGTGTAGGTGCTCTTGACTAGGGCCCTGTCAATATTTTGAATTTGCATGTTGATTTAACTAAGTCCACCTTGTGGCTGCTGCTACCTCTCCTCTCCCATGACTGGGCTTGGCAGTGCTCTCTGGAGCGGGGATGAGAACTGGCTGAGGAGAACCACGAGGGCCGTTCCAGGTGAACAGGCCTCTTGTGGTTTTCTCAGAAGCATTGTATGCGTCACTCGAACAATTTCATGGCCAGTCTACCAGCATATAAGTGAACCCATCCGCCTGATGGCTGCTATAAAAAGGCAAGCAAAGGCTAGATGGGGTGTACAGGGCTGCCTTACTGACAAAAGGGGATGGAGCTCTCCCATCGCAAGATGGGCTCCATCCTGTTTTGCATCCTACTTTGCTGCTTTATTAGCATAGCAGCAGCCAATATATTTGGTAAGTATGCTTGTTCCTTTCCTTTGCCTGTATTCAGTAGTGGCTGTGCTCCTGTGATCTTTGTACTGCTCTCTGTATGATTCTGACAAATTATATAATGATCTTGAATCTTGCACACTGCAAACTTAGCTAATTATTGTGCTCTGTGCAAACTGAGTTTGGGCTCCAGGTTAAATACTAAGATACAAGGATCTTTAAATGGCCAGAGTTATCTGAGTTCAGTACACCTGGAAGGAATTTAAGTGGAAACAACAAGTTTTCTGGAAGAACAGGCTGGGCTAGAGAAGGAGCTTGGGTAAGCAAAGATGGTGCTTTTGAATGTATTAAGAACAGAAGACTTGACTGTTTTCTTGCCAAGTGGCTTCAGTAGTTGATCATTTGCCCTGGTAAAAATTAAGAACTGCTCCGAATGTGAATTAGTCTGATGCGAACTGCTAGACATTGATTCTTCCTAGATCTTTCATAAAATTAAGAAGAAATACTTGTCCTTTTGGTGGAACAGTGAGTGACATAGCTTCAATAAAGAATAAATACTCGGAAACATTAACAGTGCTGTGTGTGGTTATGGCAAAGGGCTGTTTTGGGGTGATAGGCACAACAAACTCTAAGTAAGTGAAGTGTCCCCGGTACCAGAAAATTAGTCATACCAGTACAGAACAGAGCTGAGACTAATTAAACACAGACCTGGGGAAGGGGTTCATGAGCATCTCCATCATGTGCTTATCCTGCAGCTGGCAGCCCAGAGAGTTTGTTCAGTACCTCCCTGTGCTGTCCCGTGCAGAACTGCATGCAAAGAGTAACAGGGAAACAGCCAAGGAGGACCCATGTTCCTGGGGCTGTCACCATGCAGTGCTGGCACTATCAGGGTTTTGATAAGACCAGGCTTGTGGTGAAACCACAGTTACATCTTTACCTTTTTGCTGCTTTCAGAGTATCAGACAGATTCCCAACCGCTACGTCCATGTGAACTTCAGAGGGAAAAGGCTTTTTCAGGAGGAGAAACCTATGTTCCTCAGTGCTCAGAAGATGGCCAGTTCAGGTAATTTATCCCTGCTATTATTCTGCTGTTGTAAGTGACTTTTCATTACTAATGAAAGCTTTAGCCTCTGTTTTGAAGAGCCTCCGATCGGTGGACTGGAGGGTGAGGGGTGTAGGAGACTCGAAGCGACTTCACTGAGCTGTGTTGCAGATCCAGCCTCTCCTGAACGAATTCCCTGTTACTGGAAACAGTCTCTGTGTTAAGAGGTCGATGTAAAATTAATGGGCTAATCTTGGCAGCATTGTTTACATGTTAAATACTTGTGTGCGGTTTCTCATGTAATGCAACTGCTGTCTTCCTACACATGCTCAGGGGCGCATGGACTGTGATCAGTGTGCCAGCTGGCATAGCTGAGCCACGTTGACTTGGAGAAGTTAATCCACCCTGCTCTAAGTGGCACAGTTGGCTTTCCTTTTAAAGGTAGCAAAGGAACTAAAAAGCACATGGAGGACAGTGATTTAGAGAGCAGCATGTTGCTTGAAGATGCAAGAAGTTAATTATTTAAAGCTGAGGATGAAGGAAAGTACAGACTGTAATGTTTTCTACTATTACCTTATTGTTGTTGTCTGTGGTAGGGGACCTTGACCATTCTAGATTTAACTTAGAAAATATCTCAGAATGCATGGTAAATCTCAAATACTGAGAATCAGGATTCTGTCCAACCTGCTTTATTCCTGAATGACTTCGAGTCACTTATCTGCAATTCCTGAAGACTTCAGACAATTGCTAGAATTAAGAGCTCTCATCACGTAGAGTTAGAGTCACCAGAAACACAGTCCCTTCTGACTGCAGTATCCGTGGTATTAAAGTACTTGAACTTGTTTGGCTTGTTTTACGTTTTTGTTTACATCCTATACTGACTGAAGACTGTCACTAACAAAATGAAGTATGTTACTTGTGATCTCCTTCAGGACAGTTCAGTGCAGTAGGAATGGTCTTTCCTGTTGGTGTGTGGATGAGAATGGCATTGAAGTACCTGGCAGCAAACAGAACGGATATCCCATATCTTGTAAGTCACAAGTTTTTATTTTTCTTCAGGTTGGATAAAGAACCATTGAAATCTGAATTTGAACTGCTGGAGTTAAGAATAGGTTAGCCCTAGACTTTGATGGACTCTAGTTTGTTGTAATTTGCTAGGTCTGTCTCGTGGAAGTTCTGGAGTTTCTTCAGGGCTGATCATGGAAACCT